AATGCTCCAATAATAGAAACAGAGGTACTCCGTAATACCCCAAAAAGACCCTTGGATCTGCCATCTCGTGTCCGCCGATAAGAGCAGGCTTCATTTACGACAAGGCTGTGAGAAACAAGTTGATGATGCATGCATGTCATAGATATCTCCGTTTCTGATGGGCAATCCAATCCATGTTTCTGTTCTTTCTTTTCTTGTTTATTTTCGGAAGCTAAAGTTCCAGTCTGGCTCGTTATCCACCAGAGTGCCCTGACAAGGAAACAACTAAACTTGTTTTTGGCTCTTTTCTGCTATTCGTAGACTCATTCATGGAAGAGTGCAGATCCTCCATAACATATAACCGCGGTACCGAATACCAATAATCCTACATTGTCGTTCCGCACGTCCTCAATGTGCATCATCCTCCACCATGTTCGCCTCAAAGTCGTAGCAGCGCGAATGAATGACGAGACAAGTGATCAAATACCGTCGAGGAGCGCATGGCGACGAACTCACGCGCCACCCTCACGCTTGGCGTACTCGTCCTCGATGGCCTCGGCATACTTGTCGTCGGCGCTGCGGGGGTCCTCCTTCAGCACGCCCTCCTTGATGAGGTCTTCGGGGGCAGGGCGGTGGGAGATCTTGTCGTTGAGAGAGTCTGCACGCATGTGCTTCTCAAGCTCCTTCTGGTGGGCGATCAAGCTAGGCGCGGCGTTGGAGGCGGGCAAGATATTCTCTGTTGGAAGGTCAGTTAGCATGTTACCATCGTATCAATGCAAATCCGGGACGAGGCGGCGTAAGGTCCCCGGCTATGCGCAGCAGGCGCATTGAGAGTGGGGTTTTTATTCCGGACAATTCGAGGTGATCCCGGTTTTGATGATCGGCGGGTGAGGCGGACGGTGGGGCGCGACGGACGGGAAGATGTGGAGGGGGCACGCATCGAATAGGGGAAAGAAAACAGGAAATCGCGACAACAGTGTATCCAGGGCAGATTCGAATGGAAGGCGGCGTTGGTTGTGGTTGCAGATTCAAATGCACATTGAGGCAGGGATTGAATCACGAGATGGAGACTGTGGGAAGGGATTCACATACTCTCGACCAACTCGGCGCGATCGGGACGGTGTTGGAGGTGGGCCTCAAGCGAGTTCTTGCGCTCGCCGGCGGGGTGGGTGATGGGCGTCTCGTCGACGACGGACTTGGTGTTCTCGTCAGACATGGTTGATTTGTTGGTGGTGTTGATGGTTGGCGGCGGATCTAGTATCTGATACTCGAACGGGGCGAGCTATCGGCGGGTTCCGGTGAAGCTGGGGTGTACGGACTCGTCTCGCCTCGTTTTCGTTGCGCAGGGTAAGGAACAAGACAGGATTTGCGATTGTTCCGCCTTGGAATTGGGATGATAAGTGGTAAGCGTAGTAGTCAAACGGTGGTTTTCGCGATGGGGAACTTGGGTAGAGGACGGGAGTCTGGACGCGGGAGAGCGGAGTGTGGATGGGCGCGGGTGGTGGTGTGTTTTGTAGTCTCTTCAATCTTCTGCGGAAGAGGGGTTGAACTGGAACAGCAAGGCACGTTCGCGTCTGGAATAAGGTGGTCGGATGGATGAGCGTATTGGTTGTGGTTGGGGTTGGGTTGGCACAGTTGGTATGGCAATGACAGGAGAGAGGCACATGGGACGGGCACACAGCACCCAAGGCCGAGACTCAAGAGAGCAGGAGACACCCGCCCTTGTGGCCTGTTGCTCTTGCCGTCTGCTGGTGAGGTGAGGTGTGACGAAGCTGAGCTGGGGGGAGGCAGGTGCGAAAGAGGGGTACCCCGCCCTGTAGCTCGCCCCTCCTGGCTCTTTCCTGAAGCTGCAGACCCGCATTTCCCGGGCCATTGCATCACATGCTGCCTTATGTAAGGCGATACGTATCCTAGCTAAACTCCACTTGTGCCTGAGGATTGGCTCAAATGCTCTCAGGCGTGAAATGTTACTGGCTGCTCCTCTGAAGCTCTCTCCTTCACATCCATCGGGCGCATTACATGTAAACCCTCTGTAATCTTTTTGCATCTGATGTTGCATTCTGGCTACAGCTTCAAGCTGTAAGCTCCGTCGCCCAGGAAACACCAAGACAGCTCATCATTGTTTGCTTCTGTGGCTTTCAAAACAATGACATTCACCATCAAGTGTATTTCTCACGACCATCCGAGATGAGACAGCTGCCACTGCACTCGGCCCGCCAACCCCTGCTGACTTTGAGGGCCGATGACGTCTAGCGCACGGGAATCCATTCTCACCCCAGTCAGAGCACATCTCGACTAGGCCTCGCCTCCACGCCCCTGGACGGAACAGCAGCTTCGGTGATGAGATCATAAGGCCCAGCTCGCCCCTTCTCATCTTACCTACCTCGCTCGTCGGCTCTGTACGGAGTATACACTCAATAATACGGGTACGGATACCTCGTGATCGGAGCCGGCTCCCCCCGACTATCGACAACTATCCATGTTGAAGGCTGCGCCATAATCCCAGCGAGCCTGCTTGAGACACCCCAATTCCGGCACTCAGCCACTCTAACCACCATAGCCCCCAATGTGGCTGTTTCGCAATCTTGAACCTTTTGGAGTCGCTATTACTGGACTCCAACGTGACGACACATTGGCTTTGGAGATGTTCAACAACACCAGAAGAACACGCAGTGCCAGCCTGATACCATACCCGTCAGGTCGTCGTCTGCAATGGTCACATAGTGTTGTTGTCTCTGTCTGAGTAAGAGTAAGATGTCCGGATGCTTCGGTGCTGACATGGTAATCAGGCCAAAGACCGAAGGCATGCTCACAAAAGTGAGTGCTGTTCAGCACCACGGCGCCATTGAATACCGTATTGGTTCGCCGACGTTGCGTGTGGCGCCGTGTCCGGCATGCTGCAGCTGTCTCACTGCTCAAGTGTGCGTATGGATTCTCAGAATCTCCGACTATCGCCATCCGGTAGATGACCTGAGAGCTTGCAAACCCGGTGTGTTTCCTATTGTTCTTCGTTTCTTTACGCCTGCGATTGCTAGCCTTGGGCTTTTCGACGATGATGCTCCTAAACGCCACCAGTCTTCAGCTGCACGAGTTCTTCGGCTACAGCATCCCAATCTACGCAATCCTCTCGCACACCTGGGAAGAAGACGAGGTTACACTGCAAGATGTCACCAATTCTTCTTATGCCCTCAAGAAGGGGTTCGCCAAGGTCCGCGCCTGTTGTGCCCAGGCCCTTCGGGACGGCATCATCTGGGTTTGGATCGATACGTGCTGCATCGATAAAACCTCGAGTGCCGACCTCTCCGAAGCCATCAATTCCATGTTCCGCTGGTATCAAAACGCGACCGTCTGCTACGTCTACCTTAGCGACCTGCTGGCTCAGAAGCCTGGCCGGCTGGACTACTTGGCTTTCAAGTCTACCAAGTGGTTTACCAGAGGCTGGACTCTCCAAGAGCTACTTGCGCCCAGGCTCATCGAATTCTATGACTGCGACTGGAACGAAGTTGGGACCAAGTCCTCTCTCGAGTACCTCTTACACAACCGGACGGGAATCCGACGTGACGTCCTTTCGCATGACACCCCAATACCATCGTTGCCCGTAGCCGAACGTATGTCTTGGGCTTCGACAAGGAAAACAACGCGACAGGAGGACATCGCGTACTGCCTCTTGGGCATATTCGACATCCACATGCCACTTCTTTACGGTGAAGGGGATCGAGCTTTCGTCCGCCTGCAGCAAGAGATCATACGCAATTCGGAAGACATGAGCGTTCTCCTCTGGGCTCAGACATACCATTTAGGAGAGCAATCCGGCGTCCTTGCACAAAGTCCTGCCGCTTTCGAAAGAGTTCGCCTCTATTTCCCCGGAGATTTACCTGTGCATGACACTGAGTTGACTTGGGATAATGCTAAGCGTCTTAAATACCTCCCCAAAGCCTCGCTCAAGTCTGAAGCCGGGTATTCGACCTTCGGAGGCCTCAGAGATAACTCGAAGACGGTACCTCCTACAGTCACAAGCCGAGGCCTGCATGTTCAGCTGCCAGAAGTCTATGTCTCACCTAACACCATCGGAGCACGTTATTTGTGGACTCGATACCTCCTCACAGTTCCACGCGATGGATACACCAAAGAGTACTACTTGTGTGTCGAAGTCAAGTGCGTCGACCCGGAGAATGGACTTTACGTTAGATCTAACACAAGCCGTATCCGCGCTATGCCGATCACGGCTAGGATTGATAATGCGTTTCCTGAGCCGTTGTATCTATCAATGAAAAATTCTTATGGTCTGGTCGGGCCGGAAGTTGGCCGCGAAGGTGCTATCGGACAAGCGTCATCCAAGACTTTCAGGATATCCATGGAGGGGAAACACGCCCTTGCGCTCCAAGTCCACAAGTCCGACCCCGCAGGCCAGGCTTTCAGCACCGGCAGTAATAGCCCGCATCAATGGATCTACTACGTTGAGCAACAAAGCATCACATATATCGTGCTCCGTATCACTGAGACCCTAGACTCCGTTACGAGAACGTTCGTGCGCGACATCGTGGTCGGGGTGCGTCTGGAGGCGGATGGGGGGACCATGGCATGTAGTCTGGGGACGGATCAGCCACAGATGCTCGACTTTGTCGAGCACAACGCAGTCGTTCATGCCGAATCCTGGCGCAGGATCAAGAATACGTTCAATGGCACTTCGTGGTCTGATCGGTCTTTTCAGATTCTCTCGGGACAGCGCTACATACTCGGGGCAGCAGTCAAACCCAGCGAGTCCGGGTCTATTCTGCTTCTTCGAGTTGATCACTGGGAAGTCTCTCTATAAAATAGCAGTAAGAGTACAAGAGGAGTGTTTATTCCAGAGTTGTGTGTCAACCCAACTTGGCCACAGCCTGAAACCATTGAGCCATCATACTGTAAAATTATGTCGTATGCTTTCATACTCCTATCCTTTGCCGATCCTCTCTTCGTGCAGAATTGCCAATGCTCTGAGCTTTATTGAGAATAAGCGCATGCTCGTTCATCAGATTCTCTTAACCAGAGCGAACGACATCGTCGGAGAAGCGAAGGCGCTTAGTGGCCGGCGTGCGAGCGGGCGTAGCGATATGCGAAGCAGCAGGCGAGAGCAGGTGCGACTGCAAGACGCTCTGAGCACCTGGTGTCTGCGGGCGTTGCTGCATGCTGATTCTCTGGTTCATGAGAGCCACGGTGTAGTAGTCTCCGGCAATCTCTGCAAGGTAACGAAGAGCGTAGACGGGGTTCTTGAAGGGCTCGGCCCAGTCGACGAAGATGGGGCGACGGAGGTGAGGGGGTAAAGCGGGCTCATAGTCATAGTCATGTTGGAAGAAGGGGTTGCCCATGTTGTCATAGAAGCCTCGGAAGCCGTCCAACGTGGAGTCCTACTTCACGCGCTGGTCAAGCGGCGCCGCGGATGAGTAGATCTCGTCGGGGTTCTTGGATAGCGACATATTGTTAGGGGTGTTTCCTTCAACAAGAGGGGAGGGGGGGGGTAGGCAGTGAAGTTCTTACCTGGGGGATGCCATCAACTAACATGGGGCTGAGATGTCCCTGTACCTGAAAGTCAATATTGCGAGAACGAGAAGCTAGGAAGGGAGGTGTTACATTTCGAGCCCGGGTGGCAATGGAATGACTGGCCTTGTCCTCCTGGTTCTCCTCCTCGGTCCCGTCCTCTCTGTTCGCCGCCTCGATTGAGTCAATGACTTTCTCTGACATGTCGGGCTGGGCGTCGTGCGACTGCGTATCGCTCTCAGAGAGGCCATCCGGAGTCATGTCGAGGTCCTGGTCAGGAAGGGCGAGGTCCTCGATCGCCTTGTCGGTCAGGAACTCGATCCAAGAATCGTCGTCCTGAGGGGCGGGTCTGTCTCGAGTGTTAGCTAGCTCCGCATAAGAGACTTGACCTATGAGACTGTATCACGAACTCTCCAATCACGCCATCGTCGCTGACGATGCTGTAGCCAATGTTGGTTCGGCCGGGTCGGTAAATGGATCCCGGATCCTGTCGGATAATGATGCTCGCCATTGGGATGGCTACCGATCTGGTGGAGGGCACCGCGGGAGTGAGATGGGGGCTTGGGATTTGGGGAGAATTGGGGGTGGATCGGATGAGTGTGGAAGGACCGTGGTTGTCGATGGCAGGAGCAGTGTTGGGAGGAACCTCGGTGAAGGGGCTGCATGCCTTCCTGCTGTGTAGGTGGTCTGCTTTACCTGACTGGGTTCGGAGGCTGGTGAGCAGCGGCGGTAACAGCCCCAGCATAAGACCGAATGCTCCGAGCGTGCATCAGCATGGGTTGCTTCCTCAGGTTTTCAACGATAATGCGCATATTGGCGACAGCTAGTAGCTCTTGTTCATCAGTTCTAACTTCTGCCCGGATATTACATCCTTTACTTGCGGTATATGCTGAGAAGGGTGGGCAACGGTCATATGTTTTGCTAGTTCAAGGGATGTAGCTGCCCTACTCTTGGTCACGAGTCCCAAAATGATCAATGGGTTAAGAAGGACGATGCGATTATTAAGATCCAAGAGAAGCGAGGGTGAACGAAAACGCTATAGTCTAATTAGGAGAAGAAAACAGTTTGAGGAGATTAGGAGTAGTAAAGTCGTTGTCAAGATCTAATTGTATCAGTGGTTTACCCTTCACATGGTTCGTTTGTCTACTGGACTCTTTCGGCCCTCGAAAAATCTTTCAGTACCTCCTCCACCATGACCTGAAGCTCTCCAAGAAACCCGGCTGCTGACAGGGCTTGCTGTCTTTCATCGCGCTCTTGATTCTCTCAATTTTTGCTCTAGAAAGGGCCAGTCTCAAAGCAACCCCTAGGACATCTGCTCTCCCGCCGCCATTGAGATCAATTCTAACTTTGGGATCTGCCCCCGACAGCAACATCGCCACAATCGTGTCTGTCACCTCATCCTCATCAAGGCTCAACTTTTCGGCTTGGAGACTGTGGCCATAGCAGACAGAAAGGAAAAGTTGCCAAGTCGTCTTTCCGCCATACAAATCGATTCTCTGGTTCGGGTCAGCCCCGTTTTGTAGCAGGAATTCAACCATAGCTCCGACTGGACCTTCTTGAGTAGGTAGCTCAAAAGGGGTCACGGTGGTTGGCCGCAGAGCGTAGTCCAGCAACGGTCGGCCAGTCTTCTCATGAACCTGATCTAGATCTATGTCGATTTTGTGCTTCGCATACAATGATAGCCTCGCTTGTATAGCAGAGGCTAGAAAGTTCTTCTGTCGCTTCTCTCTGAAGCTGCCCTTTGGGCTTTCTCTGAAGTTCGTCCAGTGGACATTCTTGTCTCTGGCATTCGAAGTATTCGTTTGATCCAATGCATCAAGCAGATTGAACATATTCTCCTTGTCATCCGATGAACATTGAGGGTTGATATCAGATTTCTCGTTGTTGTTGAGAAATGCCTGTTGAATCGTGTGAGCATGGTACATCAGTCCGTCAGAAAAGAGGAAGATCTCGTTGTAGTTAACCGCTTCTTCCGAATATGACACTGTTTTGATAAAAGCCAGCATGATTCGGCACAGTGAAAGTGCCGGGTTGAAGTGGGAAGTCTTTCTTCTTGCCTTTGTTTCCTCAAGTACGGCTCGATCAATGAAGAAGTCTCTCACAGTTCGATGCAAAAAGTCGACTTGGTACTGAAGAAATGGTCTCTTGGCCGGATGAAAGGTAACGTAGAGGAGGTCTTTGCCCCTCGCATTGAGCCGCTTCTTCATTCTGTCATGTAACTTTTCCACGTTTTCCGGCAAAGTGGAGGCGACCTTCATTTGCAACGCATAGCTCGCGTTTTCTGCCTCCTGTTCGAGGAATTCGAAGGCTAAAAGCGGTAGCGCTTGACCGGATTCAATCATGATTCTGAAAATGCGCGAGGTGCTTTCCCAGTATATCGGCTCTATTGACTCGATCATATGCTGGAAATATTCCTCCAGGTCAGCTGGAAGCTCGTCCACCCGACTTTGCAATTCTGTGAATGTGTCTCCTTTTGTGAGGCCGTTCTTCAGGGACTCCACGACAAGGTAAATCCACAGAAATACGCCCTGAGCTCTGTCGACAATTGTTTCGGCTACTCGAGAGCAACGGTCATCTTGTTTCGTAAGTGCCGTAAAGTCATCGTTGTTGCACAATATGTCCGTGACATAGTGGCGGATGTCGTCTCTAGTCAGGTCCTCCATCCGAAGTTGCCATGGCTGGGCACCAAATGCGTCCAGGAAGGCATCCCATGGCCGGCTTGAAGCACAAATCTTGATAGAAGGCGAGGACGCGAAGTCTTTAAGAACTCGAAGAAGACCTTCGAAGGTGTTGTCGTATCGCTTTGCTCGATCCGTATACTCGTCGAGACCATCGATAAAAAAACAAAATCTCACAGGGAGATCCGTCTGACTAGCGAGTAGGGCAAATGCTGCGAGAAGCTCCTCCATCCCCCATGTTTCCATCAGTTCGTGCTGAAAGGCCGATCGACGACGACTACAAACGCGGTCGATGAGATTCGGAACCTCCCTCAACACTTCGTACAGGAGTGTCTGGAGCAAGCCGCGTTGTGACTTTTGCATGGAGCTTCCGGCACTCCAGAAGTAGTGAGATGCGATGATCGTCGTGCAGCCGTTGCCCCAGACTCCTAATTTCACTCTCGTCGTCGGATGAGTGACGAGAAACTTCATCAAAGTCGACTTGCCACTTCCTGGCTTTCCTCTTACCCAGAAAATCCCATTACCTGACTCCAACCATTGGGGAAATAGGGTATCATCGTGGCTGAAAACCCAGTCAAACGTCGCTCTGTGTCTTTCCTTGATCGCTTCCTGCCTCGCCTTGATTTGATCGAATTTCAAACTGCGTAGTATGTGGTGTCTCGTTCGCACGTACTGTTTCTCGTCATTGAAATCATCGATCTCGGCCCTGAGAAGATCTATCTGGGCTGAGAATTCATTGGGTATAGTCTTTTGTAAGACTTGCGTTGTCTTGTCAATTCGCCTAACGATGTCGTCCAGTTTGGCGGTGGCCTTAGCCTCGAGGCTGTTGTTCTGATCTTCTAATCTTCTGAAAAGGGATTGAATATCTTTTTGTGCTGTTCTGCATGAGTCTTGTTAGCGTTAAGTATCCTCGACCCTGTCTTTTATTGTGATCTCTTACCCAGCAGCATGGGTGAGAAATAGCTGCAATTCTCTGCGGAGACCTCCAAGTCTCAACTCCAACTCCCGTATCTTATGCTCTTTCAACATACGCTTTAGTGCTTGCTCAAAGCTCTGTAACTTCCTTACGTATAAGTTCTGGCCTGGAGTTGTATCCACCTTCAATGCGTCGAGGATCTCAATCAAGACAGCAGCATCCTCAGTGCATCTCTGAGCAATGGAGCGCAGTATCGGACTTTCTGTTGTCTTTGTTGCATCTGACTCATTGTTCAGAATAACACCTGCAAGATGTCTCAGACGCCGGGCATCGGCTATCAATATCTCATCATGAATAGTCGAGCCATCGGCAGACTTGTACCGCTCCAGGGCGCCGCGAACTAATTTGACACCAAGTTCAGCGAATTGGAGCAGATTGCCAGCCAACGCTATGTATCCAAGCTCAGCCATGGTTATCCTCTACAAAGGCGTAATCGGGAAAGGGCCGAGGGACGAAGTTATGGCGGGAATGCGGCTGATATATCGTGTTACCTACCTCAGGCAAGGGAAACAGCCAAGGCTTACGTGCTGCAGCCTGGCGCCTTTTCCATGCGCCGAGAGACAGTTCGCAAATAGCGGTCAAATCTCCCTTAAATTCCACTCTGAGGCTCTCAAACTTTGGCTTGCCCCTGGTTCTAGCCCAATTTAATCGTTCGGTGCATGACCAACAATGAGCGACGCGGCTTGCTTAAAGTTGCCAAAGCTCTCTTTACAGAATTCTGAAGGCCACCTGTGGAGGAACACTCGACGGCTCCTCCTTGTTACCTTCTCTTTTACCTATCTGCTATCCCCGACACCCAAACAGCCCTCTATGCGAAGACCAAAAGGCAGACTTGGCACCTCGCCGCCAATAACATTCGGTACATTTAATTTCCAGGGTCCGCAATGGGATAGTGATCTATCTTCGGCTGGTGAGTCTATCCGTCCGCTGGATTAGCACGATGCTGATGCGGTAGGCCATAGAAGAGGGCACATTTTTCAACGAGAATCGGAATCTTAGTGGCGAGCTTGAAAGTATCCCCTTCACAGAAGATCATCGAAGTTGGGTACGATGGCCTAGTGTGCTTTTCACCAACTTTGTCCTGAAGCCTTTTGGGACATTGTCTTGGGCACTCGAACCCCTCATGAGCTACATCGCCGCAGTATGCTTGTTTGCGGGGTGGCTTTATTTCATGTCCATTATACTTCCAGGGGACTTCCTTCTCGAGGTCTTCCTGGTAGTCCTTTTGTTTGCAACAGTGTCGGCGGTTGTCTGGATGTGGGATGAGGGGATTATTCAGTATTATCTCGCTTTTCCAGACACAGCAAATGCTAGTGCCGTGTTCGCACTTACGAATTTTTGGTTTGTAATACCAAGGCTCGGGGAATGGTTGGAATGGTGTAACAGGCGGATCGAAAAAGTTCGCCAACAACAGCAGTCTCGGAGGAGGTTCTAGGCATTTCTGAACTTCATATCAGCAAATACGGAACAACTTTGCCTTGAGCTTTTCACGCATCCAGCTTGATTTCTATCCGACATTTGGGTCATATGATAGATCGCTTATGTGTCTTATCTCGAGGCCAACTAGAGTTTGTCTCTCTACAAGCCACTGCACTCAAACTTCAGGAGATTTCCTTCAACTATCTTCTTCTCCATAGTTACGAGCGTTGGCATATCCCACATACAGCTAATCCACCTGCCTCCTAGCCATTCCCTCTTGACACTAGTAAGGTACGGGATAGAATGGGCAGCAAGCTCTGGGGTATCTCGCATTCGAACTATCCCACAGTCAGCCCAAGGTTAACACGTCTTAAATGTGTGGCCTACTCACATTGCAACCTTTCTGGCAAATTCGAAGACAACTCTGTCGGAATCCCCCCAGGATGAATGGAAAACGCTAAGACGCCCTTTCAAACACGCTTAGTTCATGATCTCAAATCCATGCTTGTGAATGATGTTACCTGATCACCATACTCATCCTGGACAAATTCGGTGAACCGTATCAGCGCAAATTTGGAAATGTGATAGGCTCCTCCTCCAGCACCCATGAAGTGAGCCGCCACCGAAGACATATTGACAATCGTCTTGTCGCCGCCCTTGAGCAACAGCGGCAAGAACGCCTTCGTGACACGATATGTGCCCCAGTAGTTCACATCCCATGCCTTCATGTACTGGTCGTCGTCAGCATCAAGCAGCAAGTTGAAGGGAGCCATGTAGCCCGCGTTGTTAATTAGGATATCCAGGCGTCCCCACTCGGCCGTAAGTCGCTCTGCGGCCGCTTTTACGCTCGGCGTGCTGCTCACATCCATCTCGAGGGCCAATACCGTTGGCTCAGCCCTCCCAGCAGCCTTTGCGGCCTCGATGATGGAAGCGATGGTAGATGAGACATTTGAGCGAGCGGCGACGGCAATGAGTGATGCGCCTGCCTCGGCGTAGCCGATTGCCACTGCCTTTCCGAGTCCTTTACTTGCTCCTGTGATGAGGACTGCTTTCCCAGTGCAGTTGGAAGCCGTGACTGGGTTGATCTCAGGGTAAGTGTTGTGGTGAACGACGTCTCCGGTGAAGACGTCAACTAAGATTGATTAGTCTCCGCAATTGGTTGAACATGGGACGAAGTCTGGGTCGGTACCCTTGCGAGGCGGGCCGGCCGAAGGTTGCTGAGGTTCGGACGCCATGTGCGAAATGGTCATCAGGAGAATGGAACTTCAAGCTTCAATTGAGTTCCCTAGTAATCAAATTCAAGCTTGTATCGTCACAGAAACGGGGCGTTATTGACCATGAGGTTGAGGTATGTTTTAACTATCACCCCACGCTAGGATCGCACGCCGGACTTCCCCATTTCATAGCGCCACTGGTGGCGCCACCCATGAACACTAATTGTACTGTGTGATATTACTGTATACTCACCGGACAACAGCTCTTTTGACTCTCTCAGTGAGGTAAAAACAATGTTGACAACGGATACCTCCCAGACCATGAGGTCTCTTCATGAAGGCGCTCAAGCTTGGAAAGGTTGTTTTCTGTGATCCTTCCTTAACCAGGGATGATAAATAAGCTTCGCCAACCAAGCGCAGAGATAATTTGCCTAGGTCAACATTCTCAACCCTTTGGCATAGAATTGCGAGGAGGGCAGGGGAAGGTAGATAAGACCAGTTGCGGTGATCGCTCGCAAGTAGCACTCCATGGATTTGCCAGATACTTAAGACTCAAGCACGTAGCTAATCAAGCTACTATCACGGTATTACCTATGGATTGCTGTAGGGAAACTGCATATGTTAAGTCATGATTAATAAGTCGTTCAATTGCGTAAAAATCATAGACAACAGCTTTCGTGCAGTATGTGCGTGCGTCTCCTTACTCAACACGATGGCAAAATATTTACACGAAGAATTTTGATGATATCCCATCACATGATTTACTCCAGACCAACGCTGATAGCAGCCAGCGCATAATCCATGAAGCCGGCGTTCGTATCCAAAATGTTGGTGTTGAACTCGGCTGAGGTAGGGTAAAAGTTTCCAGAGGGGCCAAACTCCAAGGTGTAGCCATAGACCTTGTTGACACCGGGCTTGGCCCAGAAACGGGAGAAGGAGTAGTCGTCACTGGCGCCAGACGTGGGGTACAAGCCGACGGCCTGGATAGAGGTGTACGCACGACCACCGACAGCCTTCATGGCGTTGACCATGGCCGTACCGACGGTTCTGATGTTGCTGAGATCGGTTGAGGGGATGTACTCCTTGTAAGCGGAGTCGCCGACGGGGCCGCGCTTGCCATCGTAGGCGGAGTTGAGGAAGTTCATGGTGGAGGTGGTGGTCTGGTCGTCGTCGTCACCCCAGCTGTAGAGGAGGTCGCCGACGGCGGAGTGGATGTCCATGAACCAGCGGATCTTGGGGAAGGAGTCGTAGACAGAGACGAGGTTCTTGGTCTCGGGCTCGGACTCGGCGGCGGTGCCGTAGAAGACCTCGGAGCTAGGCGAGGTGGAGGCGGGCGCCTCGGAAGAGTCGAAGTACTTCTTGAAGTTCCAGAGGAAGTCAAAGTTGCGGTTGATATCGACACCAATTGAGCTGCCGCTGGAGCCGGACTTGGTGTTGCGGTTCTTGCGCCAGAGGGAGCCGGAAGACTGGTCGTAGGCGACACCGTCGGCGTTCACAAGGGGGAAGAAGACGATGCCTGCGGCAAGAACGCTCTTGACCTGGGCGTTGGTGTAGGACTTCTTGCCGTAGGTCAGGCCACTGCCGGACTTGTTGGCGGCAAGGAGATCGGAGATCCAGTAAATGATGTTGTCGGGTCCACCGCGCTCACGGGCGTGAACGGCAGCACTGAAGTACAGGTGATACTTTGACTTGTCGGTTCCGGCGCCGACGTAGTAGGCGTACTCGGTGGCGCCGTTGAAAGTCTTGTACGGCAGAGTGAGAGATCCGATGCCATAGTTCTTGACAAGGGCGTCGCAGGCCGACTTGATCTCAGCAACATTCATGATGCTGGAGATGGTGGTGCCCGAAGCCTGGGTTCCGAGACCGACGGGGGAGATGGTTCCCGCACTGAAGCGGTCACCGGTCCCGATGGGCGCGTTGGCTCTCTTGCTCAAGTCTCTTCTGTGGATAGAGACTTCAGGCACAAGCTCGTACTCCTTGGAGAGATAGTCAATCTGCTCCTCGGTGAGCCAGGCGTGGAGCTTGTAGTGGCTTCCATCCTCGCTGGGCTTGGCAACAGCTCTGCAGCCAAAGTCAAGAGTGTCATTGCGAACAATGTCCCTATACGCTGTTAGTGTCTAGGCCGGATGAGTTGATGATGAGGTGTTACCTGAAGCTCTCGGGCGAGGGCCCCTGCAGGTACACAGGAAGCAACTCTCCGAGCACAACAGTGCTCTGGAGAATCAGAGACGCGATGAGAGAGTACTTCATGGTGATCGAGACGATGGGAAGCGGAAGGATGCGAAGGATGCAAGAGGAACGGCCCGTCGCCAAGTATGCTTAAGAAGATGGGGGATTTGGCCTGCTTTCATAGTCGTTTCCATGATGTACACAACGGCTGGCTTTGTCTCGGCCATAACATCTCATTCAAGCAACTGGCTACTCACAAACCAGTTCTCACTCTGGAAATCTACCCCATGTCTCCATGCCCACAAAATTAGCTATCATCGTGACCAATCATAAGCTTAAATCCCCCGGCCACGCTTGAGGATCGTTCATGCGACCTGCCCCAACAGGCATAGCGCTCTTCTGATCTTGGTAGGTGGTTCGAATCATTCATATGAGAGCAAACGGCGCCCCGTACGTAAAGCGGTAAATGGCCTGAATTACCGCGTTCAAGGAACTTTTTCTAGCACGAATCCACAATGTCACCTTCCTCCACGGCTGCGAACAGCGGCGAGGACCGATCGCGTGGACCTCCTCGTTGTGTTCCCGCTCCCGATGTGGGGTGATGACTGCCGGAATTCGCGACACCAGGTTTAATTCCTACATTCTTATTCCTTGGGGTTGATTATTGCAACTTCTCAGCCCGCAAGGCTCTATGGAGGTTGCCAGCATTTCTTGCTTCCTCCAAATCTCAGAAACGAAAGATCTTTTGATTCCCCTCCTGGCGATTGCTTATGCTGTGACGTACGTTCGATGCATGTAAGACGACTGACTAATAATCGCAAACTCGCGCCATCTTCCCATATTCCACGCAGTCGATTGGCCTCAATAATGAATGCTTCAAACAATGAGTCAATTGACTCGGCTACTTGAGGAAACCCCGCGCACATCGAATAATACTGAATAGACCACGACAACTGTTTGCCATTGATATCACGTTGTGGAACCAGACCGGGCTAAAACTTGAGGCTTCAATCATGCTGTCGTTCTCACTCCTCAAGGCGACCGTCTGTCTCATTTGGCCGTCCTCGGGATGGACAACATGTGGACAGAAACCAGCCAGCGCGTTTCCGTCGCTCCTCGATGCTACACTCGACGACCTCAATCGCGGTCTGAGCAGTGGAATTTTCACCAGCGTCGACCTCGTTAATGCTTACATCGAGCGCATTAAAGAGACCACGCCAACCCTCAACGCCGTCACCGAGATCAATCCGGATGCCGTCTCCATCGCCGAAACTCTGGACCTCATCCGCCGCCAGGGCAGACCGCTTCTCGGCCCCTTACACGGCGTCCCCGTCCTGATCAAAGACAATATTGCCACGGCAGACAAGATGAATAACACGGCCGGCTCTTATGCCCTCCTCGGCGCTAAAGTCTCCGAAGATAGCACCGTCGCCGCCAAGCTCCGGAAAGCGGGGGCGATATTGCTCGGCAAAGCACACCTGTCGCAGTGGGCCGAATGCCGGAGCTCCAATTCGAGCAATGGGTGGTCAACGTATGGCGGTCAGACCCTGGGCGCATATTACCCCTTTCAAGACCCATCGGGTTCGTCGGGGGGCAGCGGCGTCGCGTCTTCGGTCGGTCTCGCGTGGGCGTCCCTGGGGACTGAGACAGCCGGCTCGATTTTGTTGCCCAGTGACGTCAACAACGTTGTGGGCATCAAGCCGACTCTTGGCCTCACCTCACGGTACCTCGTTGTGCCCATCTCGGAGCACCAAGATGTTGTTGGACCTATCGCTCGGACCGTGAAAGATGCTGCTCATCTCCTGGGAGCCATCGCCGGGGTGGACCCTAGCGATAACTACACGTCTAAATTTCCTTTCCCGAAGACACCAGACTACGCCGCGGCATGCGTTAAGGGGGGGCTGCTGGGCAAGAGATTGGGAATTCCACGACATGTGCTACACGACCCTCAAGAAGCCCCTCTTTCTAACTACTCGGTGACGGTATTCGACTCGGCCGTCGACATTCTCCGGTCTGCAGGTGCGGAAATCATAGACGACATTGTTTTGCCAGGATACAACATGACCGAAATCTCCGCGCTCCTCACCAAGAGCCTTCACGCAGATTTCGCCGTTGCCATAGAAAAGTACTTTGGGCAATTGGCGGCCAACCCGTACAACATCACCACGCTTCGTGAGCTCCGGGACTGGACCCAGCATGACTCTCGCGAGCAATGGCCTGAGAAGAACACACTCTCATGGGACAACAACCTAGCAGAAGGTCTGCGGAACACAGATTCGGAATTTTGGGATGTGCACCTCCGGCTTCTGTACCTGACTGGTCCCCAAGGATACACAGGAGCTCTCAAGAACCATTCTCTGGACGCGATAGTACTGCCGACGGCGTTTGCCGTGATGAATGCTGCCATATCCGGTACACCGGTGATATCGGTACCGTTTGGAAGGCATCCGGACGATACCGAAATTATCAAAGACAAGACTGGAACGCTCAATGCCGTGGCACCGAACTTACCCTTTGGCATTGGTTTTGCGGGGGCTCCGTTCAGTGAGGAAACACTGATTAGCATCGCGTACGACTTTGAGCAGAAGGTCCAGGCCCGGGAGGTCATCAAGCCCTATATAAAACCCAAGAGCGACCTAGAAGACATAGTTAGACGCAGAGCCGAGGTGGAAAGCAGACAAGAATTGTGACATGAAAGTTTTCCCCAAGACAGTTTCGCACTCAACGATGACGCCAAGTTACGTCCTTAGGTTGATGTATGTAGAGTAATTAGCTACTACAGTACTACATTCAACATCCTCCATGACAGCACATCTCCTCACCATTGCGTCTTCAAATAGGCAAGCCACAATCGCATCACTAATCGACTTTCGGGACTTTCCCGGAACCCCGCCCACCGATTTACGGCGGCGGGTATCTAACCGGCTCTGAATGCAGGCCCTCCGGGTCGGATTCCGATCGTATCACAGCGGTTCCCCGCACTCCGAGAAAGCCCCGAGACCCTGTCGGCAGCGCACCCGATCTTAGATACAGATGTCTTATATCAATGAGCTTCAATCGAATAGTGAACGAAACAATTCCTTGATTCAACTTGCGACCCAAAGAAACATCAAAAGTGAGTTGGATTGCTGATCTTTGAGTGCCCGAGAATGCATGTAACTGACCAGTGTCTTATCAGTGTCTGGAAACCTAGTCCCCCTCACTGTTATCAAGGGCGCCGGCCACGAGTATATCCCCCTCCCGGAGGGCGAGAACGCGACTGTTGCCGATTTCCACTCGTAAGAAACCTTTTATGTATGAAGTGGTAAACAAATGCTGAGAACTTCCTAGAATCCGAACAAACACGAAGGACTCACCTGCTCACTTCACCTCGGGTTTCTACAAGATTGTCGCAGGACCCGCTCGTCCCGCGCACTACAACTTTGAGGAGACTAAGTACGTCCTCAACGGTCAAATCGACATCTTGGTAAGTGACTTCGTAACCGTGTAAAGCTATGGGGCACATGAGATAGGGAGCTGACTAGCGTGGCTTTAACAGGATGAGGCTACTGGGATCACCCACCATCTAGTACCTGGAGATTTTGCTTTCTTCCACGTCGGATCCAAGGTCAAGGTAAGCTTATATTCCCTATGTTTATAACTTCCAAGCTCATGATGTATTCTCTCTGTCTAGTTCTCTACCAAGTCAGAAGGCCTTGCTTTCTACGCCGTTACCCGGCCCGTCAGAGTTCCCCACCCAAACCTGAAGGGTCGTGAGGAGGACGCAAAGTCTAAGTTATAAATCATTAGAAAAAGTAAAACTAGCACGCAACTTGAATTATAGACAAATTTGACATTCAACCCTCTTACTAATCCGCTCAGAGGATCTGAGGGGCACCTTTCGTAACCTTGAAGCCGCCAGGGGAGAGTTCTTGGAAAACGCCGCTTGGATCATACTTCTCAGCAATTGACCTCAGCCGTTCCTTGTTGGCCTGCCCATAACCATCAAACGGATCCTGGAATTGGCTGGCGTAATTCATATCCTTGTAGCCCGAAGCAAGGCCCATCTCATCTGCCACCTTGTTGATTCTCTCTTCTGTGCGCAGCTGAGCTCTGTAGATGGCATCGTCGTCTTTTGCGTTCTCCCACCTTGCCCGTAGGTTCACAAAGCCAAGAAGCTGCGACTATTCCCCGAGTCGGCGAGGATTCCCGCCGTTTCGTCGCATCAACTCCAGCTGGGATTTGTTGATGGCCTGGATCTGGATCTGCTGGATGGAGATGGAAGCCAGCGCGCTGGCTTCCTCGTTCCAGATCTCGAATGCCACTTGCAGCAAGTTGGCGTCCAGGATAAGGACGTGGTCCACAAAGAACTTCGAAAGATGCTGGCGGGGAAGAGAAGGTTCTCGGCAATATCTACATGGAAGACGTTTATTGCTTCAATGGCTGATGGCTTAGAGTCGTAGAACTTGTCGACGACGGGAGGATGGGTGTTATTGTCAAATGTCTTCTGGTGCACTGAAATCGCGACGCCAACGGGGGCTCCACTCGCTTGGGCGTTCCAGAACAAAACCGCCACGTTGCTAAGATATTTGGGGGATTGAATCGTACTCCAGTCAGCGAAAGCCGCGTTGGCCGTGATGTTCTCAGCGGCGTCGTGATGGAGCTTCGCGTACCACATCTTGTCCTGCGGGAATGTGTTGAACTTAAACTTGGTGACAACACCGAATTTACTGCCACCTCCCCGAAGGGCCCAGTAGAGGTCGGGGTTTGGTGTTGTTGATGCATTCACAATCTCGCCGCTGGCCATGACAACCTCAAACTCGATCTAGTTGTCGCAAGTCCATCCGTAGCGATTACTGAGCCAAGAGACTCCGCCTAAGTCTGCATAAGCAATGTACTTACTCAGAGACATCGGGCCAAGGACTCGGATGCGGAGGTTGACTTTCCACCAAGAGTGAGCCCACCGACACCCACTCCAAACATCCGACCGTCAGGGATGGTCACGCCAGACTTCTGGAGATTCTCATATGTGTAAGCCCAAGTGTTTCCAGGCTCCACAATCGCCGAGCCCTTGTCTTCGCTCAGTGTGATTCCGTTGAGCCGGACCAGATCAATCACGAGACCTCCCTCAATGGTCGAAGCTGTATAAGTATAGTGGCCTCCGCTTTGACTGCGAACCGACAGCCTGTGTTTGGGATATCTTTAAGGGCGACTGAGACCTCGGTGGTACTGACAGGCTGAAAGAAGCAGGAGGGAGATACGTCGCCTTGGATGGTTGACCAGAAGCCTTCCCGAGACGCCACATAGTCCGTGCCGTTGGTTGCGCCGAGGTAGACCTGGTTAGGAAATTTGGTCGCGAGAGTTTCACACTTTCACTTCGGTCAGTAACTATATACTCTCCTGGATTAAGGTCTCTTGAGGAGTTTGACTTACTGTGATGGCGCAACCGGTGTAGCTGCCGATTGCACCCCGGGAGCCGGCGGCTAAAGTAGACGCTCCTAAACGAGAAGGAACGAAAGGGAATGCGGTGTTGGAAACATGGCTAGTGCATTTATCCGGTACTTTCACGGTAGTTGACCAAGTCTGCTACGTCAACGCGCAGGTTGACGGAAGCCTGCTTGTACTACTCGTCGCCATTCCACGGCAAGGGATCACTTCGAACCTTGCGTAAGCGAGGGTACGGCGTTCTAGCATCATAATCCGGAGTTCTGTTCGGGCTTACCGGGACGGGATGTCAACAATAGAGCCTCAGTTAAGGTTTGCCAAGTTAATATCTTCAAAGTCTTAAGCCAAGTATCCCGGTTATGGAACATAGGTAGAGGGAGCAATGAACCCATAGGAAAATCGTGTTGTTCACCTACGGAGGGCATGGACATGCGCTAAAGGGGGCTTTCTGTGTCCCCACCACGGGGATTAGAGCGGCATGGAGCCTGGACGTTGCCCCGCGTGGATTCGGTTCCTGCATCCGGCTAACTTTAGCGGCCTACTGTAAATTTTGACAACTTCTGGTAGTTGAAGGCGGAGCAATCCGTCCCTGGGGCTTCATCATCATATTTCCCGCCACTTTATTGGCTGCTCTTGTGGTCCTTTGACTTATGTGAGCTGGGTGTGTTGAATGGACAGTATGTAAAAGACCAGAGAAGGGGCAGATAATAGTGTTAGTTGACGCTCTCAATGCTTCGCATTAAGTCAAAAGACCCCCTTCTGGCCCACCCCCCCTTTTGGCCCACCCTTTTACCCCCTTTTATACCAAATGTTCTACTTCTTATTATACGTCTAATAAATCCACTTTTATATATTTATTTATCTTATTTACTATATAGGTAGCAAAATAAACATTATTTATTTAAAAAAAATACTATATTACGTAATAATAAGTATTTGTTTTTTTGTTTTTTATTTCTACCTTTGCTAGCTACTTGGGCGATTCTCGATGTCGTTTACATAGTATTAATACACGGTATTAGTAAATACTTACACTATCTTGCTAGACTATTTTTTTAGATTTTCTAACTTTTTAACTTTCTCTCCTATAAAGTTTATAACTATAGATTATTAATGGTAATAATAGGCGCTACTACCTTATAAGCCCGCGTACTTAGCTAAGTTAGCTACCTTTCTAAGTAATAGTAGCTCATAATAGTAGTATCGGAGATACCCTCGTTACTATTATTAAGAATAATACTGACCTTACGATATTTACCCTAGTACTTTTAACTTTACTTGTACATATATATATTCGTTACTTTATTTCCTTTATTAAAGTTAAAAAACGCTACTTCCCTTGCTGTCTGTTGCTATCGCCCTGTCGCTATTGCCCTGTCGCTGTCGCCCTGTTACTGTTGCCCTGTTACTATTGCCCTGTTATTATTGCTATCGCTATTACTATTGAATCGTTTACCTACTCTTAAATATATACTATTAAAATACTAAGACGCGTAGTTATTATTAACCCCTAGGGCTTCCTTAATAGCTAGAAGTTTAATCTTATAAGTATTATACTAGAGGACCCCGGACTATAACACGGCTATTTTAAAGAATACGGATTAGATATTATTAACTTAAAGATCGGAAAGATGCATATTAACATAGCTATTACCTTAATAAGCGCCTAGCTTATATAACATAGTAGCCTCGAAATACCTAACTGACTCTAGAGTATTATTAATACTCTAAAAACGTAGCGTAGGAGTAGGTTAAGAAAGACTAAAAGGGATATTCTAGAGTTATTAAATAAGGCAGAAAGTAGGGGGTAGTTTTTGGCTATTTAGAGGGCGATTAATGTGTTGCGGCGGGATCGTTAGCATCTTAAGTTTAGTTAGTGTTAATAGTCGGTAACGGCTGCGGCCGGCTGTTATTAGTTATGAAGTTTATTATATAATAAAGATACTCAATATTAACCCTAATAGACCAGCTTGCCCATGAAGGCGAAGATGGCCCCCAATGAGGCGGACCGGACCCCAAAGGGGTAATAATAAGTATAAAAGTAGTTATAGTAACTTAAAGCTAAAGTTAGAGAAATGTTAGTGTTTATATACAAATTACTAGTATATACTAACATTTAAAAGACTTAAATAAATCCTTTATTTATAATTTAAAAAAGAGAAACCAACTTTATTTAGGTTATTTATACTTAAATATAATATATATACTAATTATTGATATTATATCATATATACTTATATAGCTATAATAAGTTTAATTTTCCCTATATAAAATTTACTATAGGGAAATTTTAACTTAATATTACTAAGCGAGAAAAATACTACTAATCCAAAAAAGTTTTTATTAAAAAATCTATATAAATAAGTTATATATAGCTGAATTTCAGCGTATATAACTAAGTATTACTTAAGTTATTTAGATTTAAAATAATACTTCTTAACTATATAATTTTTAATATTTAAGGCTTTAGTATTATTACGTAATAAAGACCTAGTATATAATTATAAAAATACTATACTCTTTAAATTTAACTAATATGCTACTTAATTTATTTTTTATATAATTTAATATATATAAATAAGCTAGATAAGTATATAATTAAAAATAGTAGGTTTTGGTGTAGCCCTACCAAAATAGGGTGGGCCAAAAGGGGGGGTGGGCCAAAAGTGGGTGGTTTGACTTACCTGACATCTAAAGAGATCTATTTGACATCACCATAGCATATCGAGATTGAGGTGGTTCAAGTCCTCGCTTCGTCAGGAAGACTATTACGCTGGCTCTTTGCGTAACTTAAGATTTTTCTAAAAGAATTTCATCGGGGTACTAAAGATCTCCAACAGAGATACAAACCTCGGTTACTTTCCTCATGTCGCGAAGGTATGGAAAGATTATTTCCGTGTCGCCCCAAAATTAATTCCAAGGACTTATCCAATTACTATGGATAGAATAGTAAATGATGAAATAGTAAATGATAAAATAGTAAATAATACTAGTGGCTGGATCGAGCTACAGTTTCAAGCCTTAGCTTTCTTTTCGGCTTTGGCTACATTTTGCTCAAGAGTGCGATAGATAGCTACCGGCTTTCCATCAAGGACTTCCTTCAGGAAAGCCTCAAATGTGATGGGCTGAAAGTCAGGGTACAACTTAGTGCCGTCAACGTACCCGAGAAACTCGGCATACTCTAGGGTGTTGTCTCCGCGGACTCCCATGGAGTACCAATACTCGTAAAAGATCTTCATCCTGTTATCAAAAGCACTCTTCTCGATGGCGTCTGCCGTCAAAGACTCAGCAGCAATAGCGTTTTCCATAGCCTCGGCAGGCATCTATGAAGCAGGCATATTAGCCAATTTCCAAATTAATGCTCTGCGTTTGAGAGATACTTGCGTATTCTCGTTTAGTAGTCTCGCCACTCATCTCATCCAACATATTGAAAATCTGATTCTGTGAGAGAATGTCGCCATAGACGAAGACCATCTTGTTGATGGTACGGGGATCAGCGATGATACGCGCTGTGAACCTTCCAACGTCTCTCACATCCGTCAGTGCAGAAAGAGTGCTGCCATCGCCAGCAATGAAGTTAACCGGCAAAGGGGTAGCCGAATCAATGCGTCCAGACGGGAGGCGCGGAATGCTGAGCTGATACCACCAACCGACATCAATGACCGTGTACGGAAGCCGAATCTTCTTTGCATGAAGCAGAGCCTCCTCTTTCTTTGCCAGTGCATCGATCACAGTTAGCGCAAATGTTGTGGACCTGCAGCCTGACAGGAGCTCCTTACCAGCTGGCGCAACGTCAAGACACCTTTGGCTGGCGCAACGGTGGCGAAGAAACAAGGAACGAATCGCTTTACACCTGCGGCCTTGGCGGCGTCGGCAAGAGGAATCTGGCTGCCAAGCGCACTGACGTGGATGGCCGAGATCAGGACGTCAGCGCCCTCCAGAACATCAACGAGCTCAGCCCTTGGCCCCTCAAGATCAACTACGGCGACGGCAACTCCTCTCTTCTCAAGCGCGACAACATCAGGCTTCCTCTCAGAGGCAGGTCGAACAATGGCGATAATTTTCTATCACCACTGATGGTTAGTCTCCCGGATCGGATGAACAATGAAGATTAGAAAGAACGCTACCAAGGCTGGAATGTCCGATTCGAGAAGAGCATTGACAATGGTGCTGCCCGTCTCTCCTGTCCCGCCTATAAGAGCCACCTTCATGTTGGCTTTGTTGTGTGAGCTGAAGACTAATGATGATTTCTAGGAGTTTTTGATGTCAAAAGGCCATACGTCGGTCAAATAACATAATGACCGCATTGAACCTGCTCATTCTTTATACCTACTGGGTAGGCGGAGTTTGCACAGAGGCCAACTAGAAGTGAACTTAAAACTACTCAAAGTCCGCAACTGACGTACCAAGTTAGATGCTCACTCTTGAATCTCATGCAAAGATAGCGGGTTTAGTTTACTTGGCACTGGTTTCATAGGAGACATCGTCACAACTGGTGCCCAAGTAGGAAGTCCGCACTTGATTTATAAGAATGTGCGGAGCGGGTCCCTTTTGCAACGGATTGTCACAGGCAATGCCCGTGACTTTGTCTCATTAACTATTGAATTATTGAAGACTAGATGGATCTATATTGGCCATAAATTTTAATTCTGACTTTCACGAGCCACTCTTACAAGTATTGAAGCAGCACTCGCATTTCCTCACGTTGCAGTCTGGCTTCGGCATGTGTGGGTAAAAGAAGCATATAGCAGTCGCAGACAGATGGAGACGGAGATGGTAGACAGCTTCATACTTCAGGGCGCATGAACTTTACTCTGGGTATCGAGATGCTTCGGCTTATGGGGATGGTCGCATTATTAAGGATCGGCTTGACCGGCTGCCTGGAAGTTCGTACTAGTAAGCACCGACCATAACGCAACTTTCATGTCACTAGGGGCTTCATGGAAACATCAACATCTACTACTTATTTCGCCAAGTGTTACATACTGCTCGCTGCTCAAATGTCGATTTTCTTTTGTAGGGGCAAGCCCCCAATCGAAAGTCTCATGCCGGAATGCAGTAGACATAGGTGCAGGAAATGAAGTATCTGACACAGCCTCTTCTCCAAACTTCACTCTACATACTGAACCCCCCTATGGAAGTAGTATGAGGCTCCTAGTCCAAGCAAAGCTTCCGTGCTCGCATGGAAGGAATTCCTCGGCTATCAAGTACAGGAGGCACTGAACATGTGTAAAAAATCGATATTACATACTTAGTCCTACACAAAGCGATCTCTCGCCTAAAGTGCTGTTGCCAACACCGTCATTGACCTGCTTCTTTGGGTAAGATCAAGTGGCCTCCAAAACTAGGCGTGCTATCTATGGTCGAGGCCATGAGGGTCTCAGGGGCCACTCCATTCTTGACCCCGCTCGAGCATGGAATCGAACGTGCCAGCGAGATAAGCCCCTTTCCAACCGAAAGAGAAGTTTCTGTCGGTCACAGGGATAAGGCAGAAGAAGCCTGGAGCACTTTCAATCCTGGCTAAGCCTGAGTAGTAATAGTGATTGCCTCCGCGGACAGAGATCAAAATGTCGGTCTGGGCACAGCCAGCGCGTCAAATTGCATGTTCCAGCGAGGAACTGACCGTGTTATGGTATCCCTTCAGCTCTGCACACTGAGCGCGAGACCAGGAAAGGTCTAGATTGTTTAATCCTACATGGACTCTGAGATCGAGGCTGACAAATGGATCGAGTAGTCGAGCTCAATGTACAACGTATTTACTATCGTGGTGCTGAAGTCTCGCAGAAGGAAAGGCTTGACTCAGTCGTCCGAGACCTCATCCCGATGACTTGACGACTGAAACCTAGCTTATTCGTCAGTTCGATTTCCCGTCAAATTTGGGGTTCATGTATCGACTAGCAAGCATTGCCTCATGAAAGCTCGATCGGCGGCTTTCACGTCGGACGTCCGCATTTGGTAAATCTCAGGAGGCACGGTCGGCCTCCCCGGATCGTACAAGTCTCTCCACATCCTTGTACTAAGGTACTCCAACGTCTACAATAACAACTTTCCCCAGACCTGCACCCCGCAACCCCCCAGATGCCCCGGATGAGATTTCCTTAAATTGGAACCATGATCCGCTCCCAAAAGTCTTGTCTGAGTTCTTCAGGCGACCTGTTTATCATCCCTATTTCTTGTGGTCTAAGCTTGTCTTTCTTCTAGAATTCCTCACTTGCCGTACGCCACTGCTTTCGAAACACCCGTCATCCTGGCCAAACGTCCGGTTTTTCTACTTCAAAATGCCACTACGAACCACCTGGGTACATCATAAATGGGCAATCTTTTATTGTGCTGTATCAGCCATCGGAGCCCTCTGCTATGGATATGACAATACGTACTACAACGGTGTATTGGCCATGCAGGAGTTCAAGAATGATTACGGAGATGTCCGTGATGCCACCGGCAAGCTCGCTCTGTCTTCGTCTTTCCAGTCTCTCACAGCTTCCGCTATTTACATTGGCGACTTGCTTGGCGCAATGATTGCTGCTCCCCTCAATGATCGCTACGGCCGAAAGTCCACGTTCTGGCTGGCTTCATTCTGCATATTCATCGGCGGCATTTGTCAAGTCGCAGACACAATCAGCTCAGAAGCCCTACTTGTGGTCGGACGCATCTTGATTGGCCTTGGAGTGGGCCAGTTTACCGTCACTTCATTGCTGTACATCGGTGAAGTTGCACCCTTGGGCATCCGAGGACCAGCACTCATGTGCTTCCAATTTCTCCAATCCTGGTCTCAGTTATGCGCATCCGCGATCAACCAGGGCACCAAGAGCATCGCAAGCTCTCTGGGATACCGTGTTCCTATGGGAGGCCTTGTCATTCTTCCTCTAATCATGGCCGCCCTTCTTCCCTTCATTCCGGAGAGCCCGCTGTGGTACGTTCTCAAGGGCCGTCATACAGAGGCCGAGCAATGTTTTCGCAAGATCAATCAGAGCAACCCGAACTACGACCCGTCAGAGGATATGGCTACTGCTGAAAATGCCAAGAATGTCGAAGAGGAACATGCCGAATTCTCTTCATGGGGAGCCCTGATAACGGATCCCATCGAAAGACGCAAGTTGATCTACTCGGCTGGAGCCATGTTCAGTCAGCAGATCTGCGGCATTCTGTTCTTCTACGTTTATGGTGTTGTATTCGTACAGGCAATTGGGTTGGGCGACCCTTTTCTCGTTCAACTGATCACCAACATTGTTCAAATCTTCGCCGTGGGCGCCTCTATAATCACTGTCAACAAAGTGCGCCGCCGTACCAACCTCATGATCACCAACTTGATGATGCTGGTGGCCTTCATCATTATCGGCGGCGTGGCGGTCAAGCCGCTTACATCTTCGACACAATACGTCATTGTAGTGTTTTCCTTTGTCGTCGTAGTTGGCTTCAACTTCGGTCTTGGCCCCCTTGCGTACACCGTCGCTCGGGAAATGGCAGTCGGTCCCAACCAGAACAAGATCATGTCCGCGAGTATCGTCATTTTTTACCTGACAACCTGGGTGGTCTCGTTCACCGCGCCCTATTTATACTACGATGCTGGACTAGGTCCAATGGTAGGCTTCGTATACGCTGGAACGACGTGTCTCTCCATACTGTGGACATGGTTTTGTGTGGGCGAAACCGCAGGCAGATCAAGTTTGGAGATTTCGAGATTTTTCACTGAAAGGATACCCGTCAGAGCTTGGAGGAGTCATGTATTCTCGGAAAGCGAATCCTCGGGAGAAATGAGCTCAGAAGACAAAGGCAAGGGTATGCCGAATGGCCCTTTAACGGCAGAGCACCAGGAATTTGCTGTATAAATGTAGTAGCAACATCTGTAGCGGCAGCTTTGGCACCATTCGCGTACCAGCGCAATGATATTGATGCTAGTATGTCTTTTTACTGATTTGAGTCATGGTACGCGCTGCCCAGATTAGTGGTAGCCCGAAAGACGTACGTTACAAAACCAATTAGCGCCCGAATTTCTCAAACTTCGCTGGCGAACATCCAGTCTTTGACTGGCTAAGTTCCTCACAAGAGCTGCCACCTGACAATTGGTGACTGGGAATGAAGGTTAGCAAAAGTGACGCAGTGCCACCGCCCAATTTGTACAGGTGAGGAAACTGGCATTTTCCTTGACCAGTTGCCCTCTTGGCTCGGTGTCGGGAAATCTAGAAACCTGGAATGGACAGACTTGAGGCGGATTTCCTCAATCGGAATGCCCGTCCGAAATTAGCTCCATCGGGGTGCCTGATGAGAGCCGACCGCCAACCGCCTCCTACGGCCTGACGAATGTCGGCGTGTCACCTTTATGACTTAGCGACAATGTTCTATAAGAAACTAAAAATATGCAGGATTGACGGGATTTCCTATTTTGCGAACGTACGTAGGATGGGGATGCTCTTTGTAAGTGGTGTTTTAGGCACTGGAAAGCTCGAGTGTAAATCATAGCTGAGGTGAATCGCAGATATAAGAGTGAACCATCATGCAGCGAAACCACTGTAGAAGATTCATTGTCATCGAGCTTTCAAATATTCTAGCCTTGAGAAAGATTTAACATGCTGCTGCTACCTTACTTGGTGAGCCACACCTGTGGTCCGTCGCGTCAAGTTATCTGGTTAACATTCTATGCAGCCATCCCTGCTGTGATCCTTTGGGTCATTATCGGCGGACCGATAACAAACTACTTTGTCGACAGAAAAGGCCTTCGAATCTTTCCTAGCCCCGGAGTTGCCGGTATCTCATCCTTGTGGCGCATCTTCCACTGCTTGAGATATCGGCACTTCATAGTGGTGCACGAAGCTCACGAAACGCTAGTACGCACGTCCGCATTGGTCCAAACTACGTTTCCATCTCAGATCCTCGCGCTGTCTATGATATTTGCGGCCACGGTGCCAACTTTCTCAAGGATGCTTGGTACGATGGAGGCGCCGGAGAGTTCCGTCACATGTCGGACGAAAGAATCAAGACCAAGCATCAGAGAAAGCGCAAATTACTTGCTCATGTCTTTGCGCAAAAGTCCTATTCCAGTCAATATGCGCCGGTATTTCAACTACTCACATCGATGCTTTTTCGATAATGCTCTATGGCAGTTCACTCAACTGCTTGGAGCGTAATAGCGACATTGTGAACGCCGAAACGCCGGGTAGGAAGGTCTATCAAGTTCCCTTCATTCAGTCTTTACTAGACGCCACTCACATCAACACCGTCCTTGGAATGGAAGCCCGTCTGTTGCCCTTGACCAGAAAGTTCTTTTCATGGCATCCTTACAAGAAGGCTGGCGCGGACTTCGATAATATCATCCTGCACTGCACCAAGGCGCGTTTCGCATCCAAAGACAAGGACGGGGATATATTCCAAAAGTTGATGGCTAAGAATAATGGCGAGCCGCTAAACTTGCTCTTTAGCGAGCTTTTGGCGGAATGCTCGGTCATGATGAATGCCGGCACGGAAACAACCACGGCTGCTCTCACAAACGCTGTATACCTCATCTACACCCACCCTAACGTACTCGAGCAACTTCGAGAAGAACTGGACCCTATCATTGTGCAGAATACCGTACCGAGCTACGACGCCATCGGCCAGCTGTCGTTCCTTCAAGCCTGCGTTGAGGAATCCCTCCGCGTTCGACCGGCAAGCTCAATACGCTTGCCTAGGGTCGTGCCGGAGGGCGGTCGGGTGATCGCAGGGCAGTTCGTGAGCGAGGGCGTCACTGTACCAGTCCCAAGCTACACTCTACTGCGGGACGTCGAGGCTTCCAAGGATGCTGAGACATTCCGACCTCAGCGCTGGATTGATGGAAATAAGGAGAAGATGCTTAAGGCCCACCTTCCATTCAATACAGGACCTCGAGCATGCATTGGCAGAAACATTGCCTACTTTGAGCAGCTCATGCTCATCTCATCTCTGGTACGAAACTTCGATTTTCCTCTAGCTTCACCGGGCCATGAGTTCAGGGCCTTGGAGCGGTTCGACTCTAACCCAGACGAGACGTCGAAGTGTCACAACTATGTCAACCCCAATCTGCCCTTTATTTCTCCTCCACAGTAGCTGCGAGTGTGTCAAAGAGCAGATGCAGGCTTTTCGAAGAAGGTAGAAATAGAAATCCAGACATACGAGAAAGAGGAGGCCTCTCCAAAGCCAGAATACGTACTACCAAGCCGGAGCTCTAATTTGTTTCGCGGTCCATGTACCACGAGATGTATCCAGTCACCCAAAACACGATTTCGGTCTCGTACTGAGCCATGTTGATGTTCCGCATCTGAACCTCGGGTTTGGCCCCCTTGCCGTCATTAGCTTGCCGAAAGAGAAAAGAAAGACCCAGAGCTGTGTGGACCTTCCAAAATCGGTGAAGTTACGCGCGTGCGAAGTTTATCTGGAAGAAAATTGTTGTTTGAATAGCTGAGAGATGGCCGTTGAGGATATTTAGTCCCATTTTACTGAACTAGTTGGGAAAGCCGGAAAGTCAAGTACAGAAGTATGAGATAGAGAGAGCGAAGCTCAGGGCTATCGGCTCTATGCTGCCCGGATATCCCACGGATCTCATGTCGCACCCGCCGAGCAAAAACCTCGGGAACAAGCTTGTGTCCCGAACTGAACGGTACTAGCCGCCGCCGCCGCCGCCGCAGATGTGGAGCTTCTGCCGCCTTCCGGGATTGTCCGGGGAGCGGTACACGGAGGCAGTCCGAAGATAAGGCAACTTGACTTTCGCAAACGCTGTTGCGTTCACCTAATATAAGCTTCACGCCGTGCTTGCGTTTTTTGAGGGGCTGTCATTTATGAATCCTTCGAGACAACCAGCAGAAACAGCCGCGACAGATGCTCTCGTAGGTAACATACTGTTCTTCTCGGATGCGACCATAATGCCACCGAGATCGCATATGTACGTAGGCCAAGTGCCGCGCCAAAAACATCACCACTAGATAACACCACCATCCAATTTTCGACTATCCAATTCGACTATGGCTTTCAGAGCTGAATTGAGCTTCGTTCCAGTCTATACATAATGTAGACAGATTAAGTGTCATTAACTCATAACAAACGCTACTCTGATCCATGTCATGGTATCTACTCTTCTCTCTGTATTTTCATTAAGGCATGAAATTGGAAACTAGCATAGACCAATACGTAGCATATCTAAGTGACTTCGTTTCTTGCCATCCACTCGGGTCAATCAGTTGTCGAGTCATCTCTTTTGCAAATGCTCTCTTTTGTAAATGCGGATCCAGGGAGCTCCATTTCACCTCGGTAAGTTTCTGAATATTATGGACTAGATGATCTGACCGTAATATTGTTATTGAGAACGTAAAATCTCGAAATTAAAACTCAAAGTAACAAGAAGAATAGCTGGTGGGTCTTTTATTTAAGAAAGCAGCTCGGAATCATAGGAAGGTCGTTGCGGATCATCAGTCTGTATTTGCTTTACTTTCATCGAGTTATCGCCAAGATCAAACATGATCTGAGTATTTGAAACCACGCAGCTCGAACTTGGATATTGCCTCATGTAAAATTCGTATGAGTCGTGTTCCTGCGTGGACGAAGCGGAGGGGCTGTCCCGTCGTGGAAGTTCCCTCTGAACCCTGTGCCTTGGTGCTCGACGCACAGCGATCGTGACTTTGGAACTCTGCTCTCTGCCAAGAGAACTCGCTGCTCGCGCGCCCGCTGAGTGGGAGAGGGTAAAGCTTGCGTTACATCACGATTGTCTCGTAGTCGGGATGCTCTATAATTGGACCCTGAATTCTGTGGAGGCAACTCAAGCCGGGACTCAGGGGCGGAATCCCATTAATCAACCTTGCGGCGCCGGCTACGCTTTTCTCACCTCTACTATCTGATCCGAACTTTCCGTAGCAGCAAGCAATGCCGATCACGACCACGAGGGCAGATAAGTGCACGAGGTTGCGTTTATCGTTGAAGCGCGTAAGCCCCGCCATTCAGAACTCTAAGTATGCTCTTCCCAGGAGGCCCCTAGTTTTGACGTGAGTTTGTTTCGAGGCGCACCGGCCGGCCGTTGATCGGCACTGTCGAAATGCCAACCCGCATCGAACTTCCCGCTCGGCCTCTGCCAGAGTAGCTTCTGGTCGTTGGCATTCGTCCCGTTCTTGGACATGGGGAACTCTCAAAGTAAAGGTTTACAGGCGTGGCTACAGCACGAGTCGCACTACGGCCGGACCATTGACGGAACTGGGTGAGCCGGGAGGGTTTGCAGGAATCGAGCCAAGAGAGAGTTTTTTCTCCGATCTTGATTGTCGATCCGGAGGGACCCGTAGCTGGCTTGCTAGCGCGTCACCACACCACCGCGGGGTATATTGCGATCTTATAGTTCGTAGATCACTAATTATATGTCAGTCAAATCCAAGACAATGGGCGGAGCTTCAGCTGCCAAGACTCCGATTGCGACCTCAATTGGGAGAACACTTTTGGTTTGACCTCGTGACGACTCAATATTTCCCACATGATAGCGGGGGCAAGATCACGAACAACATTCGTTGACTCGTTGACGATCCGGGTCAACTGTAACTGGACAGACTACCCAGGCTTTTATGGTTCGGTGACACTGTGGTCTTCTTGCTGGTGACGCGTGAAATGCATGGGATTTTCTCCCCAGACCACGATGCCGAAGTCTCCCACAGGCGCGGTACATTTAAGACGATGTAACGGAGGCAGCACCCGCGCCTGCAGCGATGGTGCGGTTCACTTCAAACGCGAAGAAACTCCAAAGGAATCCTGTCACGACACTGCGACGAAACATTCCAATTCACCAAGCTTAATCCTCTTCTCAGCCTTCCTAGCTAGTTCTCAGACAACGGGATGTCGATTATTCAATAGCCTTGTTCATCAGGTATGCTCTCCTCGCGCGTGTCGCAGCTTGTGACCAATTACCGATAGCGGCTTGGCAAGAAGTTATTGTCACCGCCGCAAAGGCTAAGCTTCCGTTTTGGCGGCATGGTTAAGCTTTGCCCATCCGGTCGTCTCGAATACGAAACCGATCATGATGGGCAATCCTGTGTCACGGATCTGATTACTGGATAGGCCGGACCGACCACTCAGGACCAGGTCAAGGAAACAGCTTCTGGAAAACATGATGATGGGTAGCAAAGCTCCCAATCGGGCGTGACCAAACGCGGATTTTGAATTCTACGTAGCCCTTGCCATGTAAAACACAGCCGGCTCTCCATGGACGACCTGGATACTAATTCTTCACATATAAATTTCCGTTCCCTCTCTCCTTCTGACCAGCAGTCAGTTTGTCAGTAAATCAACGCATAACTCAGGTACTACAACGTATCATTGCGGCTCTTTTTCGAATTCAAGAGTAAGGCAATTCCTTGTTCCTTACCGTTTAGTACTAACATCACGCCAGTGAACTTCAATTTCCTGTTCTGGTTCTTCCTTTTGGGTGCTACCAGCGTTTACGCAAGCACCTGTACTGTGGAACCACGGTCCAACTTTGACAGTCGTTTTGATTCAAGCTTCGCAAAGCAAGCAAAGCAGCAGTGCCGCAGCGCCGGCGGGAATTCCAAGGGAGGCAACTCGGTGCGGCAAGTCTGCGATTTCCGTGGCGATCCGCCCAGATCTCTTCAGCGGACGTCTCGTATTCAAGTCTCCTCGAACGGCCGTAGCACCAATGTGAATGTGAGGTGGAACTGCAGGCGTTAACCTCGGTAGAGAAAGGTCATGGCGCGACTCAGCGTCTCGAAAGGACGAGAGGGCTGTCAGAAAGGCATGCTGAATCGAGAGACAAGGAGCATCTTGATTGTGTTGACACAACCCGAGCAGATGAGAGTGAAACTCGAGGATGATCATCTTCTTCATTGTTAGCAGTGCGTACCGATGTTTCGTTCTTATCGTCTCTGATCTAGGTGTTACCAAATACACAATATTGCAATTACAGTACGCCGACACGTGATTTGTACAAGTCTATTTTACGCCAGCTTGCTACTCGAGTGATGGCTTGGTTCCTTACGTCAACATTCGAGGGTGATCATGCCATCCTTTTACGTTAGTAAACCCCTAGTCTGTCGTATCGGGGGGAAGCATTGAATTGTGATTCTTGAACTTGATGTGCCTAGCGTGGGTGTCCAATTAAGAATATGTACGTAAAACGAAATCTGTGATCGTCGATACGTTGGACAACGAGAATTGTGAGCTAGCATCCCATGCGCAACTTCGAGCCACTGTGACTTTTGATGGTATTTGCAATAGTTCTCGAAACTGTGACGCGATCCACGATTACGTATTCAGATTGACACAAAGTGTCGCCAAAGTCTATTCCTTTTTTCATGTTGGTAAACAGAATACAAGCCAGGGCATACTGGCCAGAGACCCTATAAGTAAATTCATAGCACGTTCAGAATACGACATTAGAATCCAATTTCGATCTGCTCCTCAATCTCCGTCGTCCGACCAATGGAAATAATGCCCTTTCTTTCGGTGAGATCAAACACCACATTGAAAAGAGTACCAGAATCATTCTTTCCGATTTGCTTCCGGTTGATGGAGCTTGGGAAGTTTTGTTCATCCTTGAAAAGCTCTAGCAAGGACTTGAAGCCGGCGTTCTCGCCAACATCTAGCGTTGCTAGCTCCCTCATACGGGCAGTACGTTTCGGTGAATCTACAAGCCAGAGCGGCTCAAGAACGCCCTCATGATCCAATATCAAGTTATTGGCATGAACGACACGACCATTCTCATCAGCCGGCAGCTCCCTGAACCCAATGCTGGTACACTCGAGGCCAGTAGGGCCTGAGTGGTCGCCGAGAAGAATGTGACTGCTTCCAGCTAACCCCACGCTCTTTATCTTCTCCAGGGCCTCTCTTTTTGACCTGGATTCCAGAATGGTCCGCAGAGCAAAGTGGGTTGGCATACGCTCTGAGTCGACGCCCTTCGCGCGGATCCCATTAAGGAGACATCCCACACCGTGCTCGTTGAATCCAATTTTCCCAATGATACCTGCTTCAGTGATCATTTGGAAAGCTGGCAGATCGATGCCGGGCCCACCATGCGGTTTGGCGCGAAGGATGATCAAATTTGGTTTTTGTTCGTTCTTCCAGTCCCAGTTCTGTGAGAGGAATATAGACCCTCTAGGAGTCTTCCAGCCTAGTGCAGTGCATCCGTCCACTGCCATTTCAACTGATGTAGTTGACGTGGGTCTTGTCGGTTCCGTTTCGAAGAGACCAAAAGCGATCTCGCTTCGTATGTTCAATGCAACAACATCCAGAACGTCCACGACAGCACCTTCCGCTATCCCTTCGATCTCTTCATAGTATGAGGGAAACTTGGCTTTGAGGTGTGGCACAAACTCTCGGGTCTTCGCCTGTACTGTGGACCACTCTAACCCGCTGAAGTCTTTGAAAAAATAACGGTAGAAGGCAATTGACCCAGCAACTTGCTTCGCAGCCTGATGACCTACAGCAAAGCCGATCTGCGTTGACACGGAGGTGAGCTTCTCAGGCACATAAAAAAGCAGTCAGGCGCATCACTCACCTCTCGATGGGTTCCAGCAACAGTGATATCAATCATCCTCGCAGAATGTTCTCTCGCTCGAAATTTGCCATCGTTGAGATGAGGATGCAGAGTCGATAGATGGATCCCTCTTTGGTGGTCTTACATTCGTGATGCGGGGTTCTCCTCGGCTACCTATCTCATGCAGGCTCCGGAGTGGCAAACACTAGACGGCTCGCCGGCTCTCAACATCCTCGATACGGTCCTACCTACACGTGTGCATTAGCTCCCTTGCTGTTTGCATCTCCATCCGATAGTAGCTAATCTCCGACAGTTTCAACCAATGATATCAAACGTCCCAGGCCAATTAAAACATCAATCAATTGACCACCTGCCCATACAACACTTACCGCAATACAACATGTTCTGTAAAATGTGTAGTAGCCTAGGTATTGTGTCGCGAAGTTGCCGACTGCCCTTGCCTCGTATGTACATTCACCCTTCCAGACTGCGAATGTCCAAACAGACCACCAATTCAGTAGAGAGCCTTCGACATCTCATTATATTACAACGCTGAATACAATGATGTTCGGTCAGACCCCCCAAAGAGTCAAGGAAGCCCCTGGGGCAAATCAGCTGGAACTTCCTGCACACTCCGGCGCTTAGAACGACACTAATGAAAACTCATGTAGTCTCGGAAACAATGTCAATCTTTGAGGATGTCATACTTGAGTCTCAAATCATATGTTATTAGCATCTGAGTTTCATGCACCGAATTCAAGGCAAAAGTCTGGTTCATTTTGGATCTCGAACTCTCGATCAGTGGCCTCATTCTTGCACATGACCCCTTGTGCAATGGATGTCCGTGATGCCCAGGATCTGATTAGAAACTTCCGGGCTCATGGGTCTTGGAAGAGAACGAAAACGCTCAGTATTATATATTCTCCTCGTTTTCGCCATTTACACTGGAGGAGAAGTAGCGATCTAGATGCTGCTGATGTCATTAACTGACCTGGAGATTCAGATCATCAGCATAGGTATCACATTTTGATACAGATTTTGGTAATTTGATGCTTTTAGCCTCATTTTGAAGGTGGAACTTTGCAAGTGCTGCAATAAAGCAGACGGTAGAAGTCTCCGGCACCAATAAATAGCGAAGGCGTGTTTTCTCAGCGAGGTTGCTTCATGTTGGCAGCGGTTTTGCTGTTCTTCCCTTCACACTGCTCACGCGTTTGCAAAAGCCAAGGCTGCATTATGATAAGACATTCTTTTTGGGGAGAGATATTATTGAATTGTCGAAATGAGCGTATGCGCGTTATCGACCCGAGCTGTAAACCCTCGGGTAAGCTGCTCGGGTTGATGCTTTGTTCCGCGTATTCTTTACCACCCGACTCGGGTCCGTATGCCCCACACCCCAAGCGATCCGAACCCGTTCAACCGCAACTCTATCCGAGCATTCACGGCCTGGCATAGAGTAGAGAAAAACATGCAAACACGGAGCTAATGAGGCTTAGATTTGTCTAGACTTTGTGGAGCTCGGAACTCTCTTTTGGGTACTGGCATGTCTTTACAATGTGGACAGCTTCGTTTGCTTCTCGGCGTACATATACCCGTCCATTTCTTTGCTTTCTCGAATTCCCAGATAGTCCTTTCTGACGGCAGTCTCCCTCAACATTGCTCACCATTCTTGCCGAAGTTTCTTGTAATTTTTCGTACATTCTGATCCGAATCACCAGACGCCCGTTAGCCTGCAGCCATGTCTACGGATGGTTACTTCGCGCCAGTGCCAGGAGTTAAGCCTACCAAAGGAGGAGCCTACCTTTGGCGCTATCTCCCGAGCAAACCTGCGGCGATCCTATTTCTCATTCTATTTCTATTGTCTTTCCTCTACATCAGCTGGAAGATCTGGAGGACTCGTGCTCGCTTCTGCATCGTCTTTGCAGTAGGATGCCTCTGTAAGTTGCGCAATGGCTCTTGACAAACCTCGATGTACTGACTCCCAGTAAGTCGAAGTCATAGGATATGGAGCACGCGCTAGCGCCCACGACAAGACCGACAGAATCATGACGTTCGCCATCCAGAACATGTTCATCATCATCGCACCCGTCCTCTTTGCCGCCTCAATCTACATGATCCTCGGTCGAATTATCACGAGTATCCACGCCGAGAAATATTCGATGATCCGACCAGCCAAATTGACGAAGACGTTTGTCCTTGGAGATCTGGTTTCTTTCCTAATTCAGGGAGGCGCTTCAGGCATGATGGTGATCCAAAAGCCCGGTCTCGCGACTTGGGGTGAGAGGATCGTCATCATCGGCCTTGTTGTCCAGATCATCATGTTTGGCCTCTTCTGTGCAATCGCCGTCGTCTTCCACCGCAGAATGAGACAAGCACCCACTCCCGACTCCCTGGACGGCCTAATCCCATGGGAACAGAGCCTTTACATGCTTTATGCCGTCAGTCTGCTCATCATGGTTCGATCAATCTTCAGAGTTGTCGAGTTCGCTCAGGGATATACGGGTTACTCTCTTTCCCACGAATGGACACTTTACGTTTTCGACTCCCTTCTTATGTATCTCGTCACGGTGCTCTTCGCTTGGAGGTTCCCAGAGCGCTTGAGGCCTAAAGAGGATCTGGCTTTGTGAGCTATCTTGCATAGGCCTAACCTTCGATGTTTGGTACTGGGTTGTCACATATGTGAGGGTGGGTCAAGCTTGTGAAGCAAGGCATTTTGTGGGAGTTTGCTTCGTTAGGTCGGTCTTACGGGCCTTCTCGCTGGCCGATTTCAGTCCCCACTCCAAGTCCTTAAGGAGTTTGGCACGCCTCAATGTCTAGCTTAAGTAGACGCTCTCGTCTGTTTCACTTAGAGACGGGGTTAGTAGACGCGGAATCGGTAATGCTTATCAGGACATGAGGTCAAGTCAATTCTAATGTTATTTGAAAACATGCCACGGAGGGCATTATTTTCCTTCTTTTTTCGGTGAAGGTTTCAGTGACTCAGCGAAGCTAGTATTGAAGTGGAAGATTTGGAGGATAAATGGGCTAAGCTCATGAGAATGAAAGATCCATGGAGAAGCACCTCAGAGAAAGTCTTACGCTTATATCTCATGTAATCGGCCTTGTGTGGTAAAAACAGCGCTACGAAGTAGTCCTAAGATGGGTGGGCTTTACCAGGTTTTACTGTTTGTTATAGTTCCTCCTACAACGACATCAGGTAAAATCAGGCCAACAGCCAGCTTTCATCATCCGAGTTGTCATCCAAGTCATCTTCACGTCGGATCACGAATACGTTTCGACTATTATTGAGAATATTCTCTAGGTAGTTTGGGATTGTTGTGATGGATTTTCTTATCGGAAAAAGTGAAGGCTAGGTAGTTATACATTCATCCGACCCCATTCCCGTAGTTTCCTTCGTTCGAAAACTCACTTGAGGTATTATTGAGTTAAAGAAGAAGTGAACCTGCTTGTACTAATGTCGACTTGCAGTCGATGGGGTATATCGAAGAGCCAAAAAGCACCTCCCGGATACTGAGTAAAATCCATTCTGATTCCTCCCGCTGCTGTGATCCTCTGAGGTGAATCTAGATAGTGCTCAGGTCTTAACTCTCCATCCCTAACGCCACTGCACACCTATAATCCTTGGATCACCTCTGTAATACACAGGTCTATGCCGGTGTTCTGTGTCGCTACCCGACTCTGAATGGTGCTCCTCGGGGCTCTCAGAAACGTTCAAGTCAGCCCCCATCAGAACGAAAGCCGCCCAATATGTCGGCTGAGAATAGTTCAGATGACCCTTTTTGCCTCCAAGCGGTGCTATGATTCCCTCAGTATCCTGCTTTTCGCCATTCCCAAGTAAATCCCTTATTTCGGCCAACTCTATCTCGACTGCCCGCGGAAGCGCCTGAAAAATAGCTGACTGAGCTGCCTTCAAGGCTTCTCTCAGTAACTGACCCGATGCGAGGCTTTCATAGAAGCGTCTCTTAAAAATGACTGTAATGTTGTCATTGATAGGCCACAAAGTGACTAGCACATTTCTCACGCCAGAAGCAATCAGACTTGTAGCAAATCCTGCGGTACTCCCACCACCGGCATAAGACACTCCTCCAGTGTGACAGGCGCTCATAACAACGAGCTCATGATCCATGTCTGCGTCAGTGAATTCTTCAACAGAGATGCACTCTCCGTCAGCAACAGATATTTCTGACAGTGTAGAGAACTCCTCCGAAAAGTCGCCGTGAGTGGCTAGGTGCAAGATGTCATATTGGTGAATGTTAAGGAGAATGGCTTCTTTCGTCGCAGCAGATCCAGTCAGGGCCAAATTAGCGGATTGTAATCTGGCAATGACCTCGGCTTCAATCTCAGCGCCTGGGAGTGAGGGAAGAGGTGTTACTCTTCCAGTAATTCGGTCCACGTGTGACATCCTGGATGGGTTTCCAATAGCCAATACTTTTCTTTCAACGTTCGAACGATTTCGTGTTTTTAGTGCGTAGTATTATGAGCTTAGGCTTGGAACGTACGATACGGTACGAGACTGCAAATCCGAGGATACCCATCGCGGTAGATTTCCGTACAAATGTCTTCTCGGGAATCTGTGTGAAGCTTAACTGACTAGAGGCTTCGGCTAGCAATCGACTATCCCACTAACTTCTACTTTGTACTTCTGCACAACTTGCGAGTCGCAATGCTTCACAGAGCTCGAACTTGCCGCTCGCAAAACGTGATGAGTGAAGGTTTCTGTTAGTATACACGTAGGCAGGTTAGACCTTTCGGTCGCGACGAGGTTAATAAGTTAGTATAGGTCTATTACGTATTAAGTATATAGGAGGGGAAGATCGTGGGCAGAGCCTACGATCCCTTAGTAAGTATAAGTAGGTAGAAGGGTCCGTTTATATAGGCCCAGACTGCCTACCTACCACCCCTACCTAACTACCTAATATGGCCCCTTTTCTGCCTCGTAATCCAATAGTTTCTATTGGAGACTGAGTCGAAAGGAAATTAAGATATTGGAGCCCCATTAATTGAAAGATAGGCACGACAGTGTAGGAGATTGCAAACAAAATCTCGACAGAGGAGTCGTCGTAAGGTAGTCGGCGTACAATTTGGAAAGTTGCCCAAATGTCTCTTCTGGGTAAGCGCGCAAAGATTATCTGCATCGCAGTGGGCGGAGTAATAGGGCTTCGGTCAAGCTAGCCCCCTAAATCTTGTTAAATGAGACGAGCGATGCTCTCCATGTTTACAGAATTCTGATCTACATATTCAGCTACCTCTCCTTGACCATGCCAACCGCCGTAAAACCCTATAGTTCAGTACTACATTTATCGATGTCATTCCAAAGAAGAAGGATCGAAGTCCTCCTTCATTTCAGGCACCCAGCCTTTTGGCCGTTCCGTTCCCCGGATCGCCAAGCCATAGCCCAGCTTCTCTACCTTGCGCACTGACTGTCGCATCACCTCCATTTTGCCCCTGAAGTCTCTTGTCGGAATTTCTGGAAGAATCTCGAAGCAGCTACTCAGCTCATGAATATCCATCAGAATGTTGCGGCCCTCTATGCCGGCCAGCTGACCCGTCTGGGCAGTGGTCACCGTAGCGAAACGCATCATCTCGCCAAAGAGGTCAAAGAGACCAAACATGTAGTCGTTTTCGGTGATTGAGACGTTGGCTGGGACTGCCGCTGCTGTCTCTTCCTCGCTGATGAGGGTCTGGTTTCGGAGGTAGTGGGAGAAGGAAAGGGCCTCAACGAGCTCCTCTAGGCAGCGGAGAGAGTGGGCATAGCGGTAGCGGTTGACGCCTTGGATGTCGTTCTCAATGGCGGCGAGATGCTTCTGGATCTCGCCCATGCGCGTTTCGATCTCCTTGTTGGCGAAGTTTGGAAGGTCGCCCAACTTGTTGACTCTGGCCCAGTATTAGTAGATGGCACGGGAACAAGGTGAGATCGGTGGGAGTCACCTTTGGCAGGTGAAAATGCTGCATCCCTGTTAGTCAAGTCCCATTCCAGACGAATAGTTGAATGCTCACATCTTCTTGCTCAACGCGGTGACGTCTCTCGATGCCTTGACAATGCGCTCCCTACGATCGTGGTGCTGATCTAGCTCATCGCGGAATTTCATGAACATGGGGGTGAATTGAGACTCGGGCGCAGCCGGCTTCGGTTTGGATTCATGAGTCCGCATGTTGCCATCCCGGTCGCGCTTAGACATCCTGAATTACTGCAACAATTAGACGGTGTTGGTGAGATGCGAGGTCGGGAAAACGTGAGGCCGTCGATGAAGTCAGTGACTCGGAGTGATGTTCGTGTGAGGTCGTGCAGGGTCAGAATTGAATTTAGTGGGGTCGGCAGATGGAGCACCCGGGGTGTGGGCCCAGCACACTCATCTGGGCTTCTGGGTCCAGGGGCTGGCCGGTTTTGCCCACGTCACTCAAATTTCCCATCATGGCAACATGGGGGTTCGAAGCTTCAACCCCCGAAACTCACATTCGCTTCAGCGCATCGTTTCTTTCCGGGCATATTCAATGGCTTTCTGGGTAACTCCGCTCGAATAATACCGTCTGATTAGATAGCCGACAATTCTGCGGCGAGACACATCTCACCCGATTCATATTCCAGCATGGCCGGCCTCGACGCGTTCTTCCGGCCCGTGCCGCTCTTCGGCGCCGCCGCGCTCCTCCGTGTGGCGATGCTATACTACGGCCTGTGGCAGGACGCCAACTCCGCCGTCAAGTACACCGATATTGACTATCTGGTCTTCACCGATGCCGCTCGCTTCACTGCTCAAGGGCGCTCACCCTACGATCGCGAAACTTACCGCTACACGCCACTTTTGGCCTGGATGCTTGTGCCTACGGCGTGGCAAGGATGGTTCTCATTCGGCAAGGTCGTTTTCGCGGTCGCTGACTTGCTGGCCGGGTTCTTGATCGTGCGCATTCTCGAGAGACGTGGCGTGGAGATGGGGAGAGCACTGAAGTTTGCCAGTATCTGGCTGCTGAACCCCATGGTCGCAACGATCAGCACCCGTGGGAGCTCGGAGGGACTCCTGGGTGTGTTGGTCATGGCGCTGCTTTGGGCTGTGCTCGAAAGACGGATAACGCTGGCTGGGCTGTTGCTTGGCTTCGGAGTCCACTTCAAGATCTATCCATTCATCTATGCGCCAGCAATTGTGTGGTGGATGGATGAGGAGATGCTCGGCCGAAAGGGGGCAGATCCCGCCCAGACGCAGACTATTGGCGAAGCCTTGGTCAAGTTTGTCAATGCTGAGAGAGTCAAGTTGGCCGCCGTCAGTCTCGCGACCTTCATGGGACTCAACATTGCCATGTATTCTATGTAAGAACCCAAGTGGCGGGCTATTCCGGGCAGTGCTAACCGCCTCACAGCTATGGCACGCCATTCTTGGTGCACACCTACTTCCACCACGTCACCAGGATCGACCACAGGCACAACTTCAGCCCTTACAACGTGCTATTGTATTTGACGTCCGCTTTCCCGTCCACAGCTACCATCCGCATTGAATCTATCGCCTTTCTCCCACAGATCCTGCTGTCAACAGTGCTCATTCCGGTCATCTTAGCAAAGAGGGACCTTGCAACTTCGATGATGGCTCAGACCTTTGCTTTCGTGACCTTCAACAAAGTCTGTACAAGCCAGGTAAGAGCAAGCTGCCACTCAGTCGGTCTCACAAGCTGTGGCTAACATTCGAGCAGTATTTCTTGTGGTACATGGTCTTCCTGCCCATTTACCTCCCCGGCTCAACGTTTCTCAAGAACCCGAAGCTCGGGGCGACTGCTTTGGGCCTGTGGATTGTGTCCCAGGCTGCTTGGTTACAGCAGGGCTTCAATCTAGAGTTCTTGGGCATTAGCACCTTCTTCCCAGGCTTATTCGCGTCATCCGTAGGATTCTTTCTCGTTAACTGTTGGATCCTGGGCATCATGGTCAGCGATGGCGATTCAACAGCCTTGGTGACAGGCGTCAAAGCCAAGCAATAATATCCGCAAGATGATGTAGATGTTGTAAGGAGACAAAGATCTAGTAACATTGAAGATCCCATCACATTGTGAACCAGACTTGATACCCGCGTAACCTTGGTGTATTGGTGAATGTTGTCGAGCCTTGATTCACACCCATTGAGCCAAATTTCGTCTAAGCCAATTCACAATCCTTTGGATTAATCTCAAATGCATGCAAGAGGTATTGACTGATATTGCGAAGACCGAAAGGGAACGAAAGGGAAGCTCAAAGGGGGTGTGGTTGTTGCCTGAAAGTGGACACGTGATCCGGCGTCACTTTCCCGCGATGGAACGCGTGTGGACACACGACCTTCACCCATCCTCTACCCCAACTCCACCCCGTCGCATTGCGCAACATTCTAGGCTTCAAAGCCAGCACCCGGACCACGCACCAGTCCGCGGCGCTTTCCTCCGTAGACAGGTCGCAATGTGGCTTTTAGAGACTGACGGTAATGTCTTCGAAGGTACATCTTAATCTACCCCACTAATTGTGCGAGATGCTGACGCGATTGATGTCCAGGGCGACGGCTTTGGCTCCGGCCAGGCAAACGATATCTCTTCGGCCGAACGGACTCGGAACGTATGGCTTATGACTGGGTGAACACCTTGCACGAACTTCACTGACGGTTTGCAGCCGGACAACTGGCCATCTCTCATAAGACCATCTCGCGCAAACATCTGACCATCGAGGTCGACAATGTGTCCGACGGCGATAGCGTACGTAGGCGTAATACGATTGGCTAGTGCAATAGCTGAATATCTTCCTAGCAACATCTCTCCCGCCGATCGACCGTCACAATCGAAGACTTGGGCACCAAGACCGGGACGACTGTAGACGGGCACAAATACAAGGGCGAGAAGCATGTTGTGGCCGCAGCTTCAGCAGAGATTAAGATGGGTGGCTGCCCTGACATGTTCCGGTAAGGGTCTTGTCGTTGGAAGATGCGGGAAGCTTGCTGACGATCTTCTAGCTTGACCTGGCAACCTGTGGCGCTCACGTTCAGCTTCTCAAGCCGAGAAATGCAGTCCGACCCCTTTTCGCGACTGCGTGTCGACCTTGAGCAGCTCGACGTGAAGTTGTTGGCGGATTATAACATTCAGCATACAACACACGTTGTCACAAAGAAGCGCAACACTTCCAAGGGATTGCAGGCGCTGATTAACGGAAGGTACATCGTTGCAGACTCCTTCGTGGACGCCATTGTCGCGGCCGCGACACCTCCAGAAGACGACGATATTACTGCATCCTCTGCTTTGGAAACGGACTTTGATGGCAACTGGCCAGATCCGTTGAATCATCTGCCTCCTCGCGGTGGCGAGCCTGTCGAAAGGCCTCCATCCGCGTATGCGCCGGACGAAGCCCGATTGGAAATCTTTGAGGGGTATACCTTTATTTTCTACGACAAGGGACAGTTCGATAATCTTCTGGCGCCTATCACCAACGGCAAGGGCAAGGCTCTATACACAAAGGTCGATCCAAAGTCAACAACAGTGGACGACTTCGTTCTCTACGTTAAAACGGAAGCTGGCGAGAAAGGCCTCGGTTCATTTGACGACGGTAGCGAAGGACGAGGTGTCGTAGTTGTTCGCTTCGTACCGAACAAAGGTGACGCTGTGGATTGGTATGCCGACTTTTTCACTCAGGTCTCTCTCCGACTTGATCACAGACCCATCGAACAAAACGAGTTCCTCGAGGCCATCCTCATCAAAGATGCCAGCATATTGCGCCGGCCTTTGGAGATGGACCCGACGCAGGGTCCGGCAAGCACAACACCGCAAGAAGAGGTGGCAAGAGTTGACTCCAACTCAATGGATATAGATCAGCCGACTACGTCACAGAATACGCTACAAGAGTCTGCGCCCGCGCCTAAGCCTTCTGCTACCAGAAGTCGGGTGCGGAGGGCACCGACGAGACGCTTTGCTGGATTTGACGCGGATGATGATGATGACGACGCCTTCACTCCTTCAGTGGTTGAGAGCAAATCGGTCGAGGCCGAAGCTGTGGACGAAGGATTGTTTGTTTCTCAAGACGCGCACGCGTCTAACGATGTAGCCGAACCATCACCAGATACGAACAGACGATCCCAAAGGAAACGCCCTGCAGCGCAGGACGATGACATTGAGGATATCATCCCGACAGCTGCCGCAGTGAAAAGGCGAAGGATCGCCGCCGGAGAAGAGCCTGTTCCGCGAAACGAATCACCCGAGCCCGCGGAACCGGAGCCAAAGCCTGCCCCCAAGGTCAAGAAGGTGAAGAAGGAGATTGACGTTCTAGACGTCGCCCGCCAGCAGAGGGAAGCGATGGAGGCCCGCCTCAAGGCAGAGAAGGAAGATTTAGCCAATTTGCCTGACGATGTTGACTTGGAGCAAATCCGCCGGTTGCACATCGTCGAGGAGATGCCTCTACGTCAGCCACCAGCCAACAGAAGTCACGATAAAGATGATGAAAATGGCAGGTGGGATCCACGGTGGAACGGGAGGAAGAATTTCAAGCGCTTCAAGCCGCGGGGTGAACTCACCGGGCGGCCACCTCAAAAGGTAATCGTGACCCTGACGCAAGTCAAGCCCAAGGAATTTGGTATCGGAGACGATTACTGGCTAGAGGACGACAGCCAGCGCAAGAAGAAGGGCAACGAGAGCCAGAAGAGCGGCACAGCCCAGGACGAGCCTGCGCCCCCGCCACCGCCACCACCTGTGTCTCGGCCTACGTCGCGACAACAGCGTGTTGTCTTGAGTGATGATAGTGAAGAGGATGACGACATACCCGATACCCAGGCTGAGCCCGCACCAGAGCCAGAGCCTGAACCTGAACCTGAGCCGACGCCGGCGTCACGGTTGAGGAGTACGCAGGCGACGACGGCTACGCAGTCACAGAAGACCACGCAGAGCCAGTCGACGAGACAAACTCGCGGGAAGAGGGCCGCGCCGGAACCTGCCAAGGAGCCGCCGGCGAAGAAGCCGAGGGCCACGCGGAAAGTCATTGAAGTTGCGGATAGTGACGACAGCGAAGATGAGCTCAAGTTCAAGTTTGGCCGGCGGCGTTAAGGCGGCACAGGGAGGGAGTGTGGTAATGATGATGTATGACTTGCATTCGCGACGGGCGCTGCTTCTATTGTTAGGGGTATCTCTCTATCCGTATTCTGCTTGCATGCTCGACCTGTTTAAATACAGGCGTCTACTGCCGCATCTTGCTTGTATGTGCCTCTCAGGACCAAATCTTATGTGAACCTGAAACCAGACCATGTACATCAGTCCATCTCGTCCATCGCGCTCGGCTTCGAGCCCTCTTCCTCATCTACCAACAACCCCACGAGACACGCGGAGAGCATAGTCTCGTAATTTACCCAGGGATGAATCTCCCCAAACAACTTCGTCCCATCACGCCCCGCGCCGCGCAGCAACTCAGGCTCGCCAGCCGGGTGGTACGGCAGATACGGCGTGATGTTGTACACCCTCCCACCCAACGCCATCCACGCATCCTTCCCCTTTCTCCCCGTCATTTTTTTCAGCATCGAGGGTGTGACTTTGAGGTAGGGCGTCGAGGGCGGGAGGTTACGCAGGTCCGCGTTGGGGCCTGAGATGCGCGCCCAGTCGAGCGGGGAGTGGCCCGGCGTGAGGATGACTTTGCGCGTTGGCTTGGGGGCCTTTGCGGAGTGCGTTGGCGGCGGCGCAAGGGAGGAGCCGAGGGAGGAGCTTCCGGGTGCCGGGCCGCGGTTCGGTACGGGGCCGCGGGCGCGTTGGGGGGAGTTCATTGCTGGGAAGGCGGCTAGGCGGGGAGGGACTGGGCCGCGGGGTGTTGGGGCTGGTGGCGGCATCATGTTGGCTGAAGTCGTTGATGGCGGAGGAGGGGGCGGCATGCTTCCTTTGCCGAGCGTGGAGCCGGAAGAGGAAGATGCTGGAGAGAGTGGTGCGCCGAGGGTGGGCGGTGCCATTGCCTTTGAGGGTTCTTCAAGATTGAAGGAGGGTACGGGCGCGGCGTGAGCGGCGGGGGTTGCCTTTGGTGTTGTTTGTTCTTCGGCTTCTGGTTCGGTTACCGTGGGCGGCGCCGGAGCGGAAGGATTCGGGGATGAGCGGCGGATGATTGGCGGGGGAGGAGGAGGCATAGAGACGGCGGTCCCGGTTTTGCGCGGTGCCGGTGCCGTTGCCGGTGCGGCGACGGGGTCATCGGGGAGGTTGAGCGTTGGTGGGGGAGGGGCATCGCGCGGCTGTTCCTTGGTGGAGGGCTCGGGTGCGTGCCTATTCGTGGTGGTTGTCGAGGAGGCCGTCGTCTTTGACTCATGTTGGTCGCTTGGCGGTGGAGGAGAAGAGGATTTTGACCGCGAGGAAGGTGGTAAGAGCTTTGTATCGTTTCGCCAGGCGAGGAGGAAGGGCGGCATGAAGGGGTGTATCCATGGCGGAGGAGCGACGATGACCCAGACGAAGGAGGCGAGGATGAGGGAGACGCCGATGTAGCCCATGATTGCGACCCGGTGATGGGCCGTTGGCCACGGCGGAGGTGATGGGATGGGAGGAAGAGAAGTTGAAGGAAAGGACTAGAGAAAATGTTGAAGCGTAGTTGAGGTTGTGGCTGAATACTCAGATATGGAAGCTGCGGTTGTGGTCGTGTCTCTTTCCCATGGAGGTTCTGCGCAAGATGGGAAATCTTTGTCAGCTTGCAGCGGCTGCAACATTGACTTCGGCTTTCCGAGGCCGCTGAGTGGTGCAAGCTTTAGCTCGCGGGCTGCTAAGCGACAAGGGGGGCACGGGGCTCACTGGCGGGGTTCGAGCCTTTTTCAGGCTGTTCAGTAGCATGACGCGCTACGGGTACAGTAGTGAAGAGGTGCGCAATTCAGGTGCAGTGTGCAGGAGGGAAGAGAGAATGATGAGGTAAGCGGTGCAGAAGGGGTACGTACTCAACGCTAAGGTGATTTGAGCCGGGCAACCAGCCAGACCCCCGGGACACGGTCTGACGGGTAGGAAGAAAAAAAAGAAAATAAACG